GCGTTTGACGTCTTCCAACGAAAATGAATCCGTACGGACGCAGTTTTTTGTCCGACTACGTATCGTTTTCACTTTTCCAACGTTATGACACTGACGCGCACACCCAGCGATAACGCAGTAGTCACGACCAGCGCGAAAGCCTTTACGAAGCCTACATCGCGAGTTAAAAAACAACGGCTAAAAGTAAGAAAGCGGCGCAGCAAAGGCCTCTTTAGTAGCGCCGCGTACGTGTTGGTCAGCTTTCGCTCGGGCGAACATTTCATTCTGTAGACCGTGGCCATTCGCCGATTTTCGACGTCAATGAAATACGCCTTCGACGTTTTAAGTAAATGAAATGATAAAAAAAAACTGCCTCAGCGGGCAAGTACGGGCACGCGCCATCTTGCAGATTTGGCGCGGATAGCGCTGTGAAATAAAAAGCAAAGAAGGAAAAAAAAAAAGAACATGGCGGCTGGCCGCGCGTGTTCCCGCGCAACGGGAGGTCACGTGGTACTTCCGTTCCCAGCAGCGCGCGGTTTCTTCTGCGTCGCGACGACCAGACGGCGGGAAAGGAATGTGTCCGGCGTATCGCGAGAATCGTTGCGGCTATTGAAATTACTGAACGCTGTTTGGTAATTTATATTGATCCCATTGCTTCACCGCTTGCCGAACAAATAGTCGGCATATATCGCCGCCATGGCTCTGGACCGACGAAAGCAGACGTTCAAGCAGACGGCCAAGTCGTGTAGCAAGATCACCGACTTCTGGTAAGCTGAGGAAAAAAGAAAAACCACTGGCGATAGAAGAAGTAGGCGATGCTGTTGAGAGATAGATTGCGGGTTGTTTCGATGTCTTTCGAGGAGGAGCTACTGTCAACTAAGCGGTTCACGCGGGCCTCTTTCTGTGTTAGTCGAAGCTGTTTGGGCGGGCACGGCGTATCCGCTGCCCCTCTGTAGCGCTTACGTTCAGCTCCAATGGCGGCTGAAGTTCGGTATGCGTAGCCGGGTTGTGGTAGGATTTCGGAACGACAGGCTTTTGTGTTCGCTGCCCGCGCTAGAGACTTTATGATCATAGGTTTTGCAGTCTGCGTAGTGTTTGTGCATATGCGCTAGTGTTGTGGAGCACCGCTGACGAGCTAGCAGACGTACGAGCGTACGGAATTCACTTTTCTAGCCTGACACGTTACCCGGGTTCATATTCTTTTGCAAGTAAGATTATCGCTATTATTCATGAAGTGCCACCGTAGCCCAGCTTACTGCATTAACGATTATGCGGTAGGCACTGTGTTCCATGCACAGCACACGTTCGTGGTGGTCGTAGGCGAATCCTCAAAAGCGCCTCGTATTCCTACAGCATGCAGGCGGCGCGGGGTTCTTTCGTGGCACGAGTCATTTAGCGCAGCCGTCACGGCTTTGCTGGGAAAAAGCACGGTTATTGTGCAGCTGTTTCTGACACCGCGTTTCGATCACTCGTGGGAGTTGGCAAGTGCCGATCGGATTCGTGTGTGTGTGTGTGTGTAATTTTTTTTTTCGTTGTGCGTCCTGCATACCCGGATTAACGTGCCGCGATGTTTTGATTCTGTAAAAGTTGGCGGTGACGTGAGCGACTGGCTGTTCCAGCGGGTGTCGTCGTCCTGCAAAAGGCATTGATTGGTCCTGGGTTCGATCCCCGCACGACGGGTGAAATTTTCTTCAACAAAGAAGCTTTATTCCTCAAAAATTGTGGCTGATTGACTGGTTGATTGCCAATTAGACCTATCGACATCTTCTGCGGACAAATCTTGTTCTTGCTTCTGCTGTCTGTGTGTTACCCGAGCATAACAGTACTTACATTGAGGATGAATGAAATACCATGGTTCTCATCGCTGACCCAGGTCTGCATTGTGATAGCAGCACTTGGTGGTGCCTACTGTCAACTACCTGTTGCTGGAAATTGCGAGGTTTCAATAATTACCCGTGCTGCACTAAGCTTGTTGAAAAAGCGCCAAAGTTTATTTGAGAGGAGTACATAAAGGTACAGTTGTCACTAGCACGAACAAAGCACAAAGTAGGCCTGTGTCTGTGTGCTGCAGTCAAGGTATTAGTAAACTGGTAGCATAGCTTCCATAGAAGCCCATGTATCCAGTAGTTGGCAGCTCGTTGCCACAGTTGTTATCTACATATGGAGGGGACAACTAACAGCCAACAAAAACTATGACGTCACAACTGGAAGCTGTAGTGAAGTCTTGTATTTGCCCTACATGGCACGAAATTGAAAATTTTCTTAGGGGGGGGGGAAGGGGGCTGGCCTTTCGCATGCCATTATAAATGCGCAATTTTATTGCTCCTTATGGCTGTCTAATGTGTGCGCTCTTGAGAGAAAAAAAATAGACCAACAAGAACGATTGTGGAAGCAGTTGTTTTATTAGCCAAACGGTCTACTTCTAAAATACACCAAGAATTTCGCAGATGAAATTGTGTGACACATTTGTTCACGAGCACAATAATTGAAAAACTCACAATGGCCAATTGTGGAAAACTACTGCAGCAAGACACTGCCCCGCCGCGGTGGTCTAGTGGTTAAGGTACTCGGCTGCTGACCCGCAGGGCGCGGGTTCGAATCCCGGCTGCGGCGGCTGCATTTCCGATGGAGGCGGAAATGTTGTAGGCCCGTGTGCTCAGATTTGGGTACAGCAGCCTTGAGAATATCACTTTGGCAACTGTAGAGTGCAGCGTCTCGTTGCTTAGCATCCCGCCGCGGTGGTCTAGTGGCGAAGGTACTCGGCTGCTGACCCGCAGGATCGAATCCTGGCTGCGACTGCTGTAATTTCAATAGAGGCGAAAATGCTGTAGGCCCGTGTGCACAGATTTGGGTGCAGGTTAAAGAACCCCAGGTGGTCGAAATTTCCGGAGCCCTCCACTGCGGCGTCTCTCATATTCATAGGGTGGTTTTGGGACGTTAAACCTCGCATATCAATTGATCGTTGCTTAGCTTGTCGCATTCACCCTCGCCGAAGGCGAGGGCACGCATGCTGTGTGCCAGCGATGACAGTTGGCAGTCACAGGAGCGGCTATCTACTCATTCTGTGAGCTAGTTGAGCTCTGAAGTGTAATGCCAGTTAACAGCACATAAGCAAATAAATAAACTACGAAGGGTACGCACGAAACCACCACGCAATAGTGAGTGATGCCTCATTGGCGCGGCCATGCCCTAAACTGGCCTGGATACCCCCCCCCCCCTCCCCCCATTTATGACTTGACCAAGAATTGAGGCAATCAACCATTTAGCCAAATGTCAGACAAACCGCAGAGTAAATTTATAGTCAACTTTGACATATATAAAGTTACGACTATTTCAAAAAAAATTATCGAGTTTTTAGTTTTGGTTTGTCCCCTCCTCACCTAGTCGCACTTCAACCATCAGCAGACGTAGCAACAGGCTTTCGACACTTTTCTTTCCGTGCGTCGCAACTCACATAGCTTGACCATGCCACAATAATGTTCACATAGGTGACATGATCATGAATCAGTGGACTTTAAAACAGGTCTGGTTTTTAATAGTGGCATTTATGTTAATACATAGCAGGAGAACATTCTGTTGAAAAAAAGTAAAAAAAAGTTGTGTGCGAGAGTTGTCACTTGATGCTGCCTTTCAAGACTGCATCAGGCATGCGATGTCTGTAGCATTGCACTCCTATTTTTTAGTGCGTGGGAAGTTATTAGTCTTCAACTATTCGATATATCAGCACTGAGACTTCTGAATGAGAACGCTTTCCTCCTTTTGACTATGTCAGATTAGCAGCTCTTATTAATTTGTGAAGTATGCAGGAAGCAAGAAAAAGGCTAGCCTAAAGAAAAAAAACAGAAAAAAATGCTATTTCTTGATAAGAACATTGATTTGCTTCAGCATGCATATGCATGCTGAAACGAAAATGCAACTTGCTGTGCAAGAACGTTCTTGCATGTGATCTTAAAGGGGCCCTGCAACACTTTTTGAGCATGGTCAGAAAACGCTGCCGATTGGTAGTAGAGGCTCCTGACAACACGCAAGCCAAATATTATAGTGCTTCTTGTGGCCTGGAATTCACAATAAATCATTAAAGTCGGCTAAAAATAGCTCTCCCTTTTCTTGACAAACTATGGAGTTAACAAGCCCTGTAAGCCCATCTATCAGCCATTGGCTGATGTGAACATGGTGCACTCGGTTGTTACAGAGGTCGCTGCGAAAGGCCGTCATTTTGTCACGCGATCGCACTTAAAAGGCTGCGCATTTGAAGAAAAAAGATGCTCAAGGTCAAGAGGCGCGAGTGACGTTTTTTGTTTGCCCCTCGCATCCCGCTCAACTTCCAGCGCTTTCATCGGGATGAGAGAAGAGAGAATGCGATTGCAGCGTGTGACAAATCTTTCTAACTCCGCTCGTACTTGACGGATTCTTAAAATTTGTGAGGCAACACGCTTTTCCAGTGAATCAATTCCATGGTTACTCAAAATAGTGTTTTAGGGCCCTTTTAATAAAAATTGCATAAGGATAATTTTTAGCTGAAATTGAACCCAACTAAACAGAGGGGGAAGCAAATTTTCTGCCGCAGTGCTATGCCAGAGCTTGAAAATATGTTGGAAAAGAGCCCTATTCAGTTGTCATGTTAGGAAAACAGTCACGTTAACAGATATTAATATTGTATGGTACAAGCACAGAATCACTCCAGACCTACCGTGTGAATTGTGTATTGAGTGGTTTTGCATGCTGCCTGCCCATTACAAAGGGCTGGGATATAATTCATCCTTGTCAGCCGCAGTATCAGCACTTACTCATCTGACCTCTGAAGTTCCTATGTTGATAAAATAGCCACATTGTGTAGCTTCGTACTATGAAGGTCAAGCATATCCCATGTCCAAATCACTTGGCCCTTAATATCGTAAATACAACTAACACATTGATTCAAACAATGGCTTTTGTTATTAACTTCTACAACTTTGTATTCGAACATTCACATGCTGCGAGCGCTTTGGCTGACCCTTTTATTTTCTTTTCCCACCTTTCAGGAAAACTTGCACCATTGCAGCGGTGGTGTCGCCCCCATCTAAGGCAAAGTCGCCGGCTAAGGTCCCACCTGGCTCGCCTCCGCCCAGTGGCACGGTTTCGCCGCTGAAGAAGGCCAGCGGTCAGCCTGTGCCTTCGGACAAGGTCAAGTACCAGGTCGTCGACCCTGACGGCAAGACTCACACAGTCTCGCCAACTGATGTCTGGTACATTCACTTGTCTCCTATATTGCTGTGTTCATGGAAAGATGGAACCTTGAAGCAATGAAAAATCCATAGAACACAGGGTGTCGCCGGAGCCAATGTTCAAACAAACGGACCTATCTTTTCCTAGGCTGCAACACGTAGTAGTGTTTCTAACAGTTGCAGATATGAAGACCAGACTCCTTGGTCAAGCTTTAGCTCCGACGACGCCTGTGTTAATGGAATTTCAGGTTCTTGTTGAATGTTTGAAGGCAGTAAGGAAAGCCACATTCAAAATTATTTAAATCTAAACTCCTCTTTTTGTAGGCCTGGCACAAACAACACGCTACAGCAGCAGACACCAGAATAGAGCACTGTAGCATTCAGATGTCTTACGTTATTTTGTGTTTCTTTGCGATAAACTGGAAGATCTGCTCAACCAATTTGTCGTTTTAAACTAAGTGAGCTTACTGCAAAAGCTATGAGGAAATGATCAATACATGTAGGCCAAGGTTCCTAGAGAAAATTAGAAATTGAGAAATTGAAAATATTTTTATCAAGAAACTAGGTGGAAAGCTCACTTGCAAGCCACCCTGTTGTGTTGCTTATTTACGATGAATTCCTTTTTATTTGTTGGTTTGTTGCAATGTCTTCTAAGTGTCTGAACTATTCACTCGAAATGCATGTTGAAGGTGCGCTGAAGGAAGCCACCACCACTCCCACGCCGTAGTTGAGTTGGAAAGTCAGCTTTGTGTCAATACCATAATGTCATGCGGTGAAGCAGTCTGTGGATCCAAAGGGACACTGGGGGACATTCAAGTGGTGGATGGGCATTCAGCAGCTTGACATTTCACCTTTTCTTCATTATTTTCAAGGATTTTGTGTTTCATTACATTTCAGCACACCCAATAGCCAGAATTTATTGTTATAACCAATCACGTGGCAATGCTGCAAGTAGGGTATTTTACCATCGAAAACATACAAAAGTTGACTGTGCAAAAGCTTCTTATTGTTTTATTATTAAATGTGTTGTTAAAATGGGTACGATTACGAGTGGGTTTGACTGTATCGGTTTCCTCCATTCATGAGGTGTCACTGTTAGCTCCTGTGCGACTCAGTCTTCTCTAATGTTTGCAGCCGGAAAAAGAATTCCTTTACGAGAGAGAAGAACCGCATCCTCTTTCGTCAGGCAACAGAGCTCGACAAGGATGGAATCTTGCGGGTCAAGGTATGTTGCTTCAATGTTTCGTGTCTGTTTTATCATCGTGTCTTTCTTTTCAAGTTTTAAAACATGGCCGCAATGCTGGTAAAATTGATGTATGATCAATTGAGGTGCCCTCATCACAGGAAATGGCAACGTTTTGTTCAACGTCTTAGGAGAAACCACTTGCACTTGAATTTTTTCAAGTTTCTGCAAAACTTGCTGCGATTCTGCAGTTGCATATTACTGTAGAAGTTGAACTCAATAAAGGGATTACCATGTTCAAATTAGTTGCATTGAATTGGGAATTTGTTATGTCAAGAACAGGATTTCATTACTTCGAAATCTAAAATTGTAATGTAGCCACACCCAAAAGCTATCGGGATTGTGTTTTGTTGGATAGTTTTGACTGTGCAGTAGGGCACAACTTAGGCAGCAATTCATTTTGGAGCTCCTATGTAGCAGTGTTATTTCTATTCATTGTTATGTTTTGATAATCAAACTTATTGACAAATGAGTGATCATAACTGTCTAGTTTGCATTTGCTGCCAGTCATTGTCATCATCGTGAGACTAATGTGCACATAACTTTTTTCTATTGTTATGGCGATATGTCTGGGAACATAGGATTTCATGCTACCATATCTCTACACATGTTACCCCCCTCTGCAAGTGACTTGCACCTCTAACTACAAACTACGTGAAAATAAAAATCCCTGCATATTGTCGTGAAGCTGCCACCCCTGTATTACTGTGAAGCAGAACCTTGAATCCAACTTGCTCTCTGCGATTCATGCATGACCCGCTCCTCGACTTCAGCTTCGAAGTTTGTGCATACTGTTGCGTGTAGGTTATATGTGAGGCAATACGGTAATTCAGTGTAGCAGAAATTGATGCGTGCAACACTGTGGCATTGCATTCTTCAGGAGAAGACCCAGAAGAAGTATGGTCTGCACCAGCTGACGTTTTCGGAAATCTTCTCGGGCACCTCTCCCACGTTCGCGACGTCTCCCAAGAACAGGCCCTCAATGGGAAACGCCACACCGGGCTCACCCGACAAGGCCAGCAAGCCTCGGAAGTTGAAGCAGGCTGGCAGCCCCAAGAAGGATGGTGAGAGTTCGGAACTGGCTTCTTTTTATTTCTTTTGCTTTCATTCTCTTTCAATACCGTTGCTGTATTCATAAACGGTTAGAAATACCGTATTTACTCGCATAATCCTTGCACTTTTTTTGGTAGAACATGAATGCAAAGTAGGGGGGTGCGAGAATTACGCGGGGAAAACTTTTCACGAAAATGTACAGAGCGAAAAAGGAAACGAAATGGCCGCGAATTGGTATTCTCACACCAGCAACTAACAGCAGGCTTTGAGAAGTACTTATTAAAATTTACCTAAACAATAAAAGCAAAGGTTTAACACAAGGCAAGATTTATTTGAAACACAAAATGGGCAATCAAATAGTCGAGAATTAAAATACTATACGCAAAGCTTGTGGGCGTTGCGGGTGTAGCGGTAGCGCTCGTCGCTCAACTGGAGTCCTCAAAAGGTAAGCGTAGGATGTCAGTATTGGGCTGATGACTATTTAACAGAATCGTCCCCAGTTTCCTTCTGAAGAGAGAAAGTTTACCATCAATCCCAGTCTTGAGCACACGGCAGGCCCAGCGCGTCTTGGTGGCTTTCAGCTGCCGTCACCAGTAGCGAACACCAAACTCGTCGACTGAAGGGCCTACCGGCAGCCCTGTTGCCGTTGTTTAGTGCATGATAAATCACTTTCAACTTGAAAGCAGCCGTGTAGCTTCAGCATCGCTCCATAATGTCACAAGATTACTGACACAACATACAAAACACGCCGAAAATGCGCACTTGCTGTTTTGGCTTAGCTTGGCTTTGATTGAATCTTTGTGCAATAATAGTACGCTTGATGCTTATTAAGATAGCTCCAGATGGTGTGCACTATCATCATCATCGGCTGGAACCAGCAGACATTATTACTACAATTTTCGGGAGTGCGATAATTACTCGAGGAAAAAAAAAAGACTATTTTTGTTGGACGATGTGGGGGGGGGGGGGCGAGAATTATGCAAGTGCGAGGATTGCGCGAGTGAATACGGTAGTGTAAACATGCCTGCTCATTACGGTGTACAATTGTTACTTTTACCTTCTTTAATTAAGAAAATTGGTTAATTAGATGGGTTCTCTGGTCATGGCAGAGATCTCTCCTTGCACCTTTTTTGTCCCTTTATTTTATATTGCTGTGACAGTGTTTTAATTCTCCAAGACGGCCAGCATAGCTCGGCGCAGGGCATGCCGCAACTTTTGGGAAGCTGGACATTTGACGGGCTTCTATCTGGTTGGGAACCAGATAGATAACATTGGAAACTGATTCATTTATAGTGAAAACTTTTTTTAAAACGAGAAAAACCCGACGTTTCGAGTTCAGCTCCGATACTTCTTCAGGAGTGACTGCAGGGTACCAGAGAGCATCAGTTTATGTTTGTAAGAAAGTTATTGCTCTTAGGGGTGATGCAACTCTTCAAAAATTTTTTTATTAGTAAGGTTAACTGATCAAAATTTAGTGCACTTATTCGTTTTTTTCTGAAGATTCTAAATATTCAAGCGGATTTTTATTATCTGCATTAGAGCAAAATATATACAATTTCTGGGAGTGTATTTTTGCAGTTCGGTGCTTTTTGGCGCTTTTGCTTTGCAACATCCATAAACAAAGTGCGTCAGTGGCAGGACTGCCGAAGAGCTGGTCTAGTCGATGATGCCATTTTGATTGTATTATTGGACTTCTGATGCAAGTACGAGTGAAAGATATTAGTTTCATAAACTTTATAATTGTTGAGAACTAGAATCTGGTAAACAACATCATAAGAAAATGTTGGCTAGACCAGTTTTTTCGCAATGTTGCCGCATACTTTGTGTGTTTCACGAAGAGAAGCTACCAAAGATCTCCGTAAAAATATGCGATAAAAGCATTGAGAAATTTGCATAGCCTTTGTTCAATGCAGCTTAACTATTATACGTCTGCTCATAGATTTCTAATCTGCAAAAAATAAAGTGTATTAAATTTCATTCGATTCACCAATTTTTACAAAAAGGTTATTTTTTTTTTTCAATACCCATGTCTTGCCTTAGTAATTATGTTGGTTGTGTCCCCTTTTCAGGGCTAAGGTTTTGGGAGCTTCGCAATTATTTCAAGCTTTTTTCATTAGATTACAGGCACAACATAAGTAATCCGGTTTGTTCTAGTGCTAACGCAAGCACCAGATTGGTCGACGCCCGGTGTCTGTGCCTGCTGCTATCACTGTACAGCCAGTATGGCTTCTACTCAAGTTTATATTTTGGTGTGCACAAGTTCGCCCAGTAGTGTTTTTTTTTTCTGTGGCAGCTTGTGTTCTTTGTGCTTCGCCTTCGCAATCACATGGCAGTAAGCATAGTTTAATTGCATCGATTTTGTTGATACGGTCATGTATGGCCAAAACCTAGTTAATTTGTTTCGGATTAATTGAGGCACGGGGCTCTTGCGTGTACCTCAGTGTTAAGAATTGTGGCTTTTACACATGCTTCTATGCAAAGAAGGAACAGTGCATATTCATGCAGGAAATAAAAGTATGTTGACATAGCAGACATCTGTTTGTTTTCTTGCTACTCAGGCATCTGACACTCGGTTAATTTGGACAATTTTTGTGATCCTGGGGAATTAGAATTAACTAGCTTTCACTGCATTAGATTTTCTAATCTATACTGAAAGTTGTTACAAAATCTTTGTGATTTCGAGTGCAGGTTTTTGACTCGGAATGCCATTTTCACTCTTAACATTCTACTGCTGTGCGCTCCTTACCTACAGCCACCCCGTCAACTCCTAACGGCAAGAAAGAGCTTGCCGAGCAGCAAAACGGCATTGCGGCCGCCAGTGTGGACCGTCCGTCACCTGAAGAACTAGCCAGAGCAGCAGCCGAAGCCAAAGCGGCCAAGGACCGGGAGTTCGAGGAGCTGCTCAAACTGAAGATTGCTCAGAAGGAAGCCCGACAAAAGGTGAACAGCGTGACGCTGATGGGAAATTGGAGTGCGTGACAATGTCAGTGGTGAATTCTGGTAAAGTCTTGCGTGTACAGTTTTCCTCCATGTTCTGGTAGTATGTTTACAACAACTGTGTTTATTTTTGTGCGGTCCCATGAAGCAACGTAGGAGCTCTGATGTATTCATTATCCTTGGTAGGAGTCCACCTTGGTGGTACAGCGGTGACAGGGCTTGACTGCCCACCCGAAAGTTCTGTCCTAGCGGTAGCAGTCACATTTTGATGATGGCGAAATGCTAAAGGCCTCTGTATGTGTTATGTAAGCATGCATTAAAGTGCACCTGATGGGTTAAATTTCTAGAGCCCTTCTCTGTGGTGTGCTTCATAACGTTATTATTGATCTGGCTTGTAAAAATTCATTAACGAATCTCCGATTCGATTTTAAAACATACTGTGATGTCGTGGAAAATTCATTAATGTGTGGTTAGTTGTAATATCGCGTGTTCATATGGCCAGCAGTAAAGTAAGGTAAGAGCTGAATTCATGTGTGCCACTGCAAGCAGGCGATGTTTTACCAGTTGTGCTGTGATGGTGAATCGTGTTTTCACGCTCCTGTTCTCTCTCATCTGGTGTGCAGAAAAAGATGGAAGAGCGGAAACTGCACGCCCAGTTCCTGACGGAGTGGAACCGTCCCCGGGATGACCTGGAGTGCGACGACCTTCGCGAGCTGCCGTCCTTTGTGCCGCTCCGGTGCGCCATTCCCCCCGAGCACTTTGGGGACCTCATGGTGGTTCTCGAGTTCCTCAGCCTGTTCGCGCAGCAGCTGGACCTCAAGGACTTCTTTCCGGCTGGCGTCAGTTTTGGTCAGTGCAGCTTGCCCCAAAAATATGCTTCATCATTTAGATGCTGTACTTATTCTGAGTCGTCACTGATCTTTGTCGCTGTCCTCAAACAGTGCCCAATCCTCGTTGCCATCAAGCGCATTTGATAGGTTGCACTTCTTAAAAAAAGTTGTAGTGACACGTATCCCAAAGGAGTACGGTCACTAGCGTGGGTCCGGTCCTAGCGAGCCGCAGGGCACGCGTTAACCGTCGCCGTGGCGAGAACACGATACTGCTCAAAGTCGCAACACTTTATTGTCTGTGGCAACACTAAACGCAGTACAGCCCATTGCAAAGGCGCGACGGGAAAGCAAATGGGCTTACCCACAACACAGGCATAAAAGTACTACACAGGGTGCCACGAGCACGTCTCCGCGGTAAAGGTGATCCACGGAGACACAGGGATCAAGGCCTGGTTGCTCGAGCGAGGGCAAAGGCGCTCGTGTTGGCTTCGGAGGGAGACTGGTCGGCGTAGCTAGACCACGCACTAGGACACCGTACCACCCTTCGGCCGAGCGTTCAGAAGGGGGGGCAACATAAGGTAAGCGTTCGCCGCAGGCGCAAGGCGCTGTTAGCGAAGTCTGCACGAGCCCTGCAGGGGGCTGACGGACAGAAAAGAAAAGCGTGCTTACCCCAACGTCGTCCCCGGAGAGGTCTCTCTGCCGGCTCCCGACGCAGCGCGCGAGAACCTCCCGGGAGACTTCGCGCGTGGCGCCATAGTCAACATTCGCTACCGGGTGAGGAGGTTAAACGTCACTCTGTTCCCCCAGCGCGGCAGACAGCAGAGGAGCGGAGACATGTCGGGACATGAGAACGGGAAAGAGGCGGCAAAGCCCGTGCAAAGGCAGCGGGCCGGCCTCAATTTTCCCACAAAGTGCACGATTAAAGTTTCTGGGGTGTCATCCCATGCTGCAGCCCTGTGGCCCGTCGGTGTCAGCTGGTGGTCCCTCGATCCTTGAACGGCTTGTGATTGCACACATCAAGTGGCTGCAACTGGCCCGTCATTCCACCTGGTATCATGACGAGGTCGCACCATTGACGCTGTTATTCAAGTGCCCTTGGTACGAGTTCAGCACAAGGGGAGAGTGCTTGCTCAGGAAGACGACTGGACGACGACGCCATACGACATTCAAGCACTCCTCGACCATGGCTCTGGTTGTCCACCCATTCTCGTTGACCTGCACAATTGCGCCCTTGCGCTGTGCAATACAGTATCACAGTCGCACTGCTTTTCATCGCCCGCAGAGCACACCTTCACTTCCATGGCCCCCTTTTCAGAGACTGGTACATCACTGACGTATCGAACTACACCGGCGTTTGATCCGCGTTACTGATTTGGCCTAACAGATATGCTCTCGCTTATCTCTTCCGAAGCACGAAACGCTGGAATTTCAGCAACTTCTTTTCATAGTCAGCCAGTAACTTTTAAGTGATTTAGGTGCGACAACAGAGGCTGAAGCCGAAGCGCTTCATGAATTTCTGCAGCCAGCCTCGGCAGGCTTTGAAGTCTGCTGCTGAAACACCTTGCTCCCCTGAAAGCTCCTTCGCCTGGACCACTTCCGTTGTCACTGGAAGGGCAGCTGCCCACTGCATACGAACGAAGTCGCCCTATGCCATCTTCATTTCACGGCGACGGCTTTTCCGTGAGCCAGAAAAAGCGATCCTCGTTGTGGCGCATGCGAAGAGCTCCTCCCGTGGGCCCCTCCAGCGACGAACATCCTTTTCGTCAACTCCAAAGTCCCGCCCAGCTTGAACGTTGGAGGACAGCTCTGCGGCTAGGACAACTTTCCTTTTACATGCGGCACTATAATAACTATGCCTGTTTGGCGTCATTGAGCTACGCTACACAAACCCACTCGAAGCGAGACTCGAATTGATCAACGGCTCGCCGTAACACTCGCCACAAAGATAAAAGTGGCGGCCACGCGAACGTACTTAAGCCAGTTGTTGGCTCAGCTACAAACGGCTACAGTACTGCCTAGGTGATGCTAGTTTTGCACCACTTTCGTCAATAAGAAAAATAGCACTTTTTTCAAAATCCTTGAGTACTAGCCGACCCCGTAGTTTGATACAAATCCCGAAAAAGCTATTGGCCTAGATTCGAATAGATATGGTAGCTTTACCTTATTCCTGTTTAAAAAGCAGCTTGAGTAAAGGTTATTCATTTGATACATGCCGTTTCAGCACTGTGTTCATGTTTGTGTCATATGTGTTTTTTGCCTCGAAATAATTTCATAAAGTTCCCATGCAGTCCCTCATCATGGTGATTTTGCAACATTAAAGTACTGATTTACTTGTAAGAAAGTACAGTATTCACTTTTTCTTTGTAGACATTTTCTTACGCTGAGTTTATTTATTTATTGTAACTGTTTTTCAACCAGCAACGAAAATCTGTCCTGAACGACACCAACGAAGACGGTACACGCTATTTGTTTCTTGATGCTAGATGACCACACTTGTTCATGTTGGAACATTTGTGTCTCGGCTTTAATTTTTTTTTTTGCACTTTTCATTGTATTATCATGCAAGGAAGCCACATTTGAGTGATCTTTTTCCTCGCAATGAGTGAAATAAAGGAATACCATTTAATAGAAAGAATGATGCCGTTTTTTTTTTTTTTCAGAAAAAAAAAATGTTATAGAACTTGAGTGAAGAAAAAGGTTTAGTGGTTTTGGCACTGTTTGTTTTTTTTTTGTCATAGAAGGGTTAACTGTGAGTATGCTCTGTTTTCCTGTTTAACGCCATTTAGCCCTCAAAGGTGACTCAAGGTCTTGAATTGGACTCTCTGGAAGGGTTGTAGACTTGTCAAGATCTTTGAGTGCAGCTTTTATTTTACGATCTTCCCATCCGTATTTTGTAACCATACAGGATGGCAAAATGAGCAATGTATACTTCAGTCTCGCCCTCTTGACAGGCGTATTGCTTGGCCAGAGTGTTTCATTTATTCAATTGGAGCTAGTAGCTGCAGAATAATGGATCAAGGCTGTGCAGGGAGACGCAGCTGTCCTGTCGGTGAGAGTGCACTGGCAAGCTGCTGTATCATGAATTCTCATTCCTCGCATCACACATTGTCTCTCCAGACCTGCTGGAGCGTGCCCTGACGGAGACAGACGTGCTGGGTCCTCTGAGCGACCTCTTCCAGCTGCTCCTCACGGCCATCTTCCGCACACAGGAGGAAGAGATGGAGGCTTCCAAGGGCAAGCATCCACGAGGTGCGTTTTAAAAGCAAATTGTGGTGTACCGTATCGGCTCGCGTATTATCAGCATATCTAACTACAAATCGTATCAAGAAAGAAAAGGTGCCTGTGTATTGCGAAGCCATTCGTGCATTGTCGTTTAAGGCGGTTTTGTGAAGCCAACTTCCCCACCGAGATTCGCGAATGGCTCACACTTCAGCTTTGGATCCGAGCCACCACATCGGCACAGTGGTTACGGTGCACAGCTGCTGACCTGAAAGACGTGTGCTTTCAGGTCAGCCTGTTCTGATTGCTGATTGATTTGCCCCTACACCATAATCTGATAATATATCTGTGGATGAGCTCAGATGGTAAATTGAGGCTTTAAAAAGGCATTGTTTCTGGTTCTGAATCCGTAAGAAGACAAATTTTCCATAAACTAGGCAGCTTTCTTCCCTTGAATTGCGGTTGACTTCCTTTGCAAGCATGCGCTACAACCCGCTGGATGATAATTCAATCCCTTTGGTGAACCTTTAAGGCTTGTTCAGAAAACGATTTGCTTCGTGGTAATAATTTTTAACTTGCTGCAGCCGCCTCTTCTTGACTGTAAGGTTTTGTTTCCAGGGGAGGAGAGTTCAGAAGATGAGGCTGAAGAGGAAGAGACCATCCGCAGCAGAGGTCGTGGTGCCCTGCAAGCCATTCGCAAGGCACAGCGAGCCGCGACGGCCGTGTCACAGAAGCAGCAGCAAGTGCTTGGTGAGTCTCATGTTTCTACTGTCGAACTCAGCTACAACGAACATCGCTTCAACGAAATTTCCACTAGAACGAAAAATTCACGATTCCCCGTCATCAGTTCATAGAAGTCAATGCATAAATATTGCCGCCACAACAACCACTTTTTCTTCGATCGTCCCGTTTCAACAAAATTTTACGACGCAATTCCAGGATCAGATACTTATTGCTATGCATTAAACCCAATATTTAACATTTAGATACATTTTCAGAGCCTGAAAATGCGTCGACGAAGTCTAAAACACGCGTTGTCACCACCAGAAATCGCCACTATACGACCGCTGTTCAGCAAGCATAGGCGTAGCCATTGCCCGATAGCGATGGCAATGAGACTGCCCTGCTTTTGTTTTGCCACTGGCTTGCTTTTGAGCCGCAGACGATCCGAAACCGAAGCTCAGTCGCTCAGTCCATGGTTTCCTTTTCGCAGCTCCTGGGTGCAACCGCGACACGATGCCTTTTCCGATGGTTATCATTATGTTCGCGCTTGGCCAGTGTGGTAACTAATCAGAGCGGCTCTTGGTCTGCATTATCAACAAAATCAGCTAGCCACGAGTAATGGATAATAAGAATGGCATAGAATAATGCCAAAGTCGCTGCTCCACGGTACCCTGCCTCAATCTCGGCGTTGTCGGTTACTTTTGACGGCGGACAGCTGCTGGTGTTAACGTGTTGGTGCGACTGTTTGGTTCGTTCATGAAAGCGGTTTTAGGCGTTGTTTCAGCGTGCTTTTCACTATGGCCTCGCTATGTATGGGCGAGAATCACATCGTGATTCTGCTGGGAAGGAATAGGAAGCAGGCGACATTTTTTCGAATTTTGCAAATAAATGATCCTTTATTTTGCTAGCTCAGATCAGTGATATTTTTTTCGATTTCGCTAAAATGAAATTTTGGCTTCAATGAAATGCTTTCTGGGCCCCGTTAGTTTCGTTGTAGCGGGGTTCAACTGTACATATGTTGTCAGCATTCTGTGGAAGAGGCCTTCAATAGCTCGAGTAGTGATGGCATGAGAACGGTTGAAACGAAGACCATTTAGGTGGCAATCAAGCGCACTTGACGCAGAAGTGCACTAACAACACCCCCTCCTCTCCATCTTTTTTTAGGCTTGTTTGAATAGTGAATTTGATCTTTGAAGTAAATAGTGATTTTGCTTGAATAACTTCAAATCGAATTCGAACAGTGTACCGTAATTATACCGTATTTACTCGCGTAATACGCACACTTTTTTTTTTGGCAGAAAACCGATGCAAAGTTGGAAGGTGCGAGAATTACACGGGGAAAACGTTCCGCGAGAACATACAGAACAAAAAACAAAACGAAGTGGCCGCAAATTGTGATTCTCACGCCAGCAACTAACCGCAAGCTTTGAGCTGTACTAATTAAGACTTATCTCAACAATGAAAGCACAGGTTCAACACAAGGCAAGATTTGAGACACAAAAGGCGCAAGCAGATAGTCTAGAATTAGAATATCGTACGCAAAGCTTTTGGCTTAAACGTAAACATTTTGACAGCAATCTGTCTGGCTTCTAAGCAAAGCTTTTGGGCATTGCGGGGGTAGCGTTAGCGTTCATCACTCAACAGGAGCCCGCAAAAGGTTAGTGTTTGACGTCAGTATTGTGCTGATAGCAATGAAAATTACGTGGCAATGAAAATTATATTTGTTATTTATAAAGCCAAAGATTTAAATTCGGCATGCAGATGTAATTTGTTGGGCTGATATCATAACTGAAATCGGTTTTGAGCTATCTAATATAACTTTTGAGTTACAACACTTGATAGGCTCTTATTGTCATCCCGAAATTAATTAGCTAATTAGACACAAGTTCGTCAAAACTTTTGCATAAGGATATTCACAAAGGTGTATTTTGTGCCGCAATGCTTAATGGTTTATTTTTAATATTTAAATAAACACACAAATGTTTTTTTTTTTTAATGCCCTGGACATATTGTCTTACCAACAACTTTTACAAAAAGCCAATTACGAAAGTCTGTATGATGTGCACACAAACATGGACAGCCTTGCGGCACTTACCAATGTCTCCCAATTTAAGTGTGGAAAACGGAATGGCTGTAGCTTGATTTGCTGTGAAATGGCACAGGGATAACTGACAGCAACTGCTCAAAAAATGAAAGCTGAGAAAATGGAGCTCAAATAAATTGGAGCTAGAAGCTGATAAAACGCAATTCGGAAAGAAGCTGACTTTATTTTTTATTGGAGAAATGCGGTATTGATTCTATCTTGAGCTCCACTCTGTCTTCTTTATGATGATGCAAATATGGTGGCACTGTGCCAAGGGAAAGCTTCAAATTTGCATTTTTCTATGCCCAATTTTCACATAGCTTTTGATGACAGCCCACCAGTAAAATGCTTGTTTCTCAACTTCTACCACTTATTTTGGTCTAAGATCACACTATGATGTAAAACATGGTCTCAGGATTCCCATTGCCACGTCCCCCCTTAAGAATCGTCTGCAGTTGCCTTCTCACAAAATCAAGTTTACCATCCTCCCAGTCTTAGGCGCACGGAAGGCGCAACGCGTCTTGGTAGCTTGCAGCTGCCGTCACCAGTAGCGAACACAAAGCTCGTAGTCTCCGAAGGGCCTACCGGTGGCCCTGTTGCCATTTGGTGCATGATCAATCACTTTCAAGTTGAAAGCAGCCATGTAGCTTCCGTGTCGCCCCATAACATAACATTACGGACAAAACGTACAAAACACGCTGCAATGCGCACTTGCCACTTTGGCTTAGCTTGGCTTGGATTGGATTAAATCTCCGGGGAGTAGATTAAATAAAATATAATCGAGATGATGATGTAAATGGCTGTGCTGCTGATGACACGCGTGACCTCGCTAGCCAATCACACACATTTGCCAGCTTGCAGCTTCGCTGTCCCAACGATTACGCAAGGTGGAACTGGCTTTAAATTTTTGCTTGTTCGCAGGTTTGAAGTTGAGCAAAGTGACGGTGGATGCACTGTCACTGAGCGAGGTTCTCCGGCTACACTTGGCTTCGAGCGGATCGCTGGACGTCGGCCGGAAAGTGTTCAGCGGCTGGTATTCCCAGGAAGAAGACCCAGGGCTCTGGTTTGCCACTGAGGAGCCCGAGATCATGGCTCGCCTTAGTAGTGGAAGCATTTACGACTTGGACATTGGTACGTTAGGTTTTTAAGAACTGCTTTCCTGTGACGTTTAAGTAGTGTACTGCTCCTGAGCTCAAGAAAGCAGGTCATGCCATGGCTGTAGCATTTTGATGGGGTCAAAGTGTAAAAAACACTCGTTTGCTTAGATGTAGGTGCTTGCTTAACAACCTCGGGTGATGGAAATCAGTGCAGAGTCCCCAGTATTTCATGCCTCTTAATCACATTGTTTGTGGGGTCTCGAATTGGCAAGCACGCTCCTGGAATGAACGGCCACAGTTGACATGGTCGGTACAAACCAAACAACCACATACACTTATTTAACTAATTTATACCGACGATATCGTCCGCCGAATGATACATCAATCGTGATCAACCCACTAAGACATCCCTACACACAATTTCCATACACTCCAAAACATGACAAACACAATAACTCGACAAAGACACAATAACACACCGAAGGCAACGTCGCCAACGCTTGACTTACCACGTGCCCCTTCCCCCCCCCCCCTCGGCGCGCTGGCCGCGGTACCACCCGCCGAGGACCCACGCTCAAGACAACCGTTCGCGGCAACCGCCATGCGCAGAAGCGACTCGCTCAACCCTCATCTGCCACCAGGGCTAGCTTCCGCCAGGGGTCGTCGCCGGCGCTACCACTGTAACAACCATGATGATGATAGTGGTTGGTGCTCAATACAATACGCCACCCACCACGTGGTGGTTGTCACCCTGAAATGCGGCTTTTGGGCGAGACACGTGCGCCACGCGGCGCAAACAACTTTACAGGGGCTGTCAGCACCCCCATATGTTTTGGCACGTAAATCCTTGATTATTCTAAGGCTTTCCTCAAAGGAATTGTGTTTTGTTAGGACAGTACGTGAAACTGCATTATTGTTTAATCACTGATAAAAAATACCGGCACACAGTTCATCGCTGTTTGCACATGTGCGAGTAGCAGTTGCAAGGTGTACTTTGTTATGATGTTGGATGAATGTAGGGACAAAGGCTTGTAGGTTCTATTTTGGGAAGTCATCAGAGTGTGCCTGGGAGAAAGGATGCAGCGTAGAACCAACTAGTACTAATATTTAACACTTTGGGTGACCCTTGTTTTTCAAGGAACAGAGCTGGCGTGCATTCCACAGGAAGCGGCAGCATTTTACTGGAGATTTTTTTTTTTCTGCATTTACTTATGGCCTGATAGCTTTTAAAAAGAAAGGTCTGTGGGCTTAGTATATTTCTTGTACAGATTTGCTCCCGCCACATGGACACCTCGTGCGCTTGCATTACCCTGACTAGTGAGCGTGCATTAGTGAGCGTGCATTACCCTGACTAGTGAGTATCCTCTGTATAGTGCATTAAATTTTAACATACTTCATGCTTCCGAACTGTAGCCCTCAACCCTGCCATGCTGATTGTTCTCTTTGTTTGGCTTTGGTTTTCTACACTAAACTCCGTTGTGCAAAGGCAAGTTGTAGCAACCTTGAAGCCATAGTGTTTGCTAAAGTTAACTGGAGCAGACTCTGGCGCTGCGATCGTTCAGCGACCATCAAATTAATAGTACATGGATTTGCTTTGTCTTCGGGCTTGCGACCCTCAAACGCACTTGTGGATTGGGGATTGCTGTGTTTTTCGTTTCAAATGGAAGAACAAACGGTTATGAATTTCACCAGCCGATTTGAAATGGTGAGCCCTTTAAGGTTAAAGTAGTGAAGTGCAACTGCGGAAGATTTGTCGATTCTCGTTTTGTGATAAAGCAGCCCTAACCCACTCGAAGCCAGACAGAGCTGAAAGTACAAAGGTTAGAAAAATTCATGTACTACCCATCATTCCCATGCTCGCAGAAGTTGTGTGTGTTGCAACTCTCATAGACACTAGCGCCTGGGTTCCCTCGAGTGTATTTATAGGAAACCCTGCGCTTGAAGCAGGTGCGGTTGAAAATGTGGGTTCCCGTGGCATAAGACTTTGTGTTGCGGCATTCTGTGCGTCTTTTGAAGATCTTGCGATTAATTGATACTTAGCAGGGGTTCAATGGAAGCCTATGTCCTTTTTGCCCCTCTTCTCAGGGGACCGAGTGAAACTTCTGCGAGTGTTGGTAGACCAGCTCCTCGCCATGGAGTCCTTCCGTGGAGTCATCGAAGAAAACCTGATGAAGCTCAAGCAGCTCAAGCAGGACTTGCGTCAGATCCGGCTGTCGGCGAAGCAGCAGGAGGAACCCAAGTAAGTGCTGTACTTTTTTTTTTTCCGCTCTAAAATCACAAGCATATATACCAAGCATATATTCTTCAGTCTAATCTGAACATGTTTGTACATTTGCAACATATCTGTATGATGTTGCCCCTACCTTGCTCTTCAGTAATATAATGCCTGTTAGCTCCTGGCTAATTCAATTGCTTTCCATTGATCAGAGAAATCAAATGAGAAATCAATAAACTGTTTGTATTTAGCTAATGTGGCTACCGCTGTATTTTTTTACTAGGATTTCCTAGATATTCTTTGTTATTGAACCTACAACTAGCCTTTGGTTTCAGGTTTGACAAGTGTTTATTTCTGTATATAATGTAAAATAAAATGCTGCTTATTCATGAGTTGGTGATTCATCATGGCTTGAAATATGGAGAACTTGTCCGTGTCTTAGCTGTCCCTGTCTACGGTCGTATTTCAAGCCTTCCTGATCAAGCTGAAATTACTGACAGAGTGGTGCTTGACATTTGCTGAATTACTTGCGAGTTGAGCACACTGCTAAGCTCAATAAAGAGCATGTGAAATTTTTGGTCACAGTGACTATTTTGACGACTGTGAAAATGCAAACACTCGCATGCTTAAATGTCGTTCCATCATGAAAGCCTTAAAGTAGTGAAATTTATTTCTGTGTCCATATTGCTACGTGACGATAGGGACTAACTTCCTTTTTATTGAGTATTTTTCAATTTTTTTTAAGATGCATGAACATGGTGTGCATATGGAACTAATTCCCATCTGTGTTGTAATTGCAGGAAAAAGAGGAACCAGAAGGAAGGGGCATCTGAAGCAAAGAAGGAAGGAACCGATGGTGTGGAAGAGTGAGTCTGCACCTGTTGATTAAATGCATGGTTAGCCTGTCACCTAAACGTAGTCTCCATACATTGGTTATTACTCATTTTTCTTGGGACCTCGGTAAATACTTGTATAGTGTAATTTCATTTTGCCAGAAACAGAACACTGTTGAAGTATTTAGTCACATGCATTGGCTGCACTTGTCTGTACGGCCAGGATCAAGTTTGAAGTTGACTTTTTATGTTGTTCGTTACAGAGAAATGGCACGTTACAAAGAATGAGACATGATGTAGTTGAAAACATGCAGTGTACTCGGCATTGCATATTTCCCATCATCACATTGTCACATTCTTATACTATTTTTTTTTTATCCTGTAGCAGTAAGGTAGAATTTGTCCCTATTTGCAAACTCTTGATTTCTCACAGAGATGCCAAGGACAAGGCATCGACTGACAAGTCCGAGAAGACCGAGCAGAATGGCAAGGTCAACGGCGTCATTCCCGAGGCTCTGAAGACCCCACAGCAGCGCAAGGAGGAGCAACGTCGGAGGGAGGAGCTTGAGCGGAAGGAGCAGACCCTGAGGAAACAGGTGGAACAGCTCCAGTCTTTCTGGTCTCTACAGCCGCTGGGCGAGGACCGCTGTCACCGACGCTACTGGCAGTTCAACGCTCTTCCTGGTCTCTTCATCGAAGACAACGACCTGTACCGTGGAGCCTGCATACCTGGGGGCACTCCGCTGGTCCGTTGTGAACTTCCGAAGCACCCATCGGTGACCTTCATGGAGGCGTTCCTGCTTCACAACAAGCGCAAGCGCGGCGACAGCGGGGACAGTGCGGCACTCAGCGACAAGGAAAACAAGGAGGCAGCCGCGGAGCGCAAGGCCCTGCACGCGGCGGAGGGAAAGGCGCAGAAGCTCCTGTGCGACTCGAATCCCAGGGTAGCTGCAGGTGCTGGCGGCAGGCGCACGTCGGTCGAGTCGACGGGCGTCATGATGAACGGTCTTTTGGACCACAAGCGGGAATTGAGTGTAGTGTTAGACAAGGTGGACAGTGTTGTGAACGAACTGGCACCGACACATCCGGTGAGTGGTGCGCACCCATATGGGTCGTGCTCGGGTAACGCTGTGACGTGTACGGTGCACGGTGAGGTGGCCAGGAACGCCATGCCCCGGTGGTGGTTTTGCCGGAACAAGGAAGAGTTGGCTGCTCTAATTGGTGCCCTCAACCCCCGAGGTTTCAGGGAGAGCAAGCTCAGGGCCGTGCTCAAGAGGGACCAAGCCGACCTCGAGGCAGTTGTTGCCAAGTGAGTGCGACTTTCCATTGAGGCTGTCTTCTGCAGGAAATCACAGTACAGACCGCTTATTACCTAAGTCGAGGGAGTCGTGAATATTCGCACTATAAGTGGTACCGCACTATAACGAGAACAGACTTTTTCAAGGGCCGCACTTGCGCTAGACATGTTAAGCATGCAGCCGCGTGTGTCCGAGAATCGATGCATGTGATGTGTGGTGCTTATCACCATTTAAATTTTCAAATCTTAAAAAATAAGCTTGACGTCCTGAGTCTCGCGCGTTGCCAACGAAATAAACTTGGGGGGGGGGCTGTCTAACAAAAAAAGCACCGTCGCAGAAATTCGAAGACTACTTCTAAAGTTGCCTCGATTTCGTGCATTACACAATAGAAACTATGTCGAATGACGTCCGAAATTTCACGTGCTGAAAGACGCCAGCCATTTGATTTCACGAGCGTGCATGGGATTTCAAGACATCGCAGTCGAACTGCGAATAACCATTCGAGTACTTCACAGGCCACCCTTGTTTTTATTAATGACATAGGTATATTCTTTCCCGTCAAATGCAGCCACCACAAAAAGTTTCGTCGATTCCGTACCTTACCGCTACTTAAATAGCTCGCGTCCGCTACTGCAACGTAAGCAACCCTGATTAGGCCTAGCACGCTGTTCAGGATATTGCGGAAAGTTTGTCCACGACATGAAGATCCATCGTTTAAGAGATCGCACTCAAGCACTGAACCGAGAACAGCGTTCCTGATAAATACAAAGTTCGCATTCATGGCTGGATCAACAAACACCTGCTGAGCTTATTTGCAATGCTCACAGACTATAGGTGGTGTCCTGTGCAATTGAAGATGGGTGCAGGAGGAGGGTCAACCCATGAACTCGCATAAGAAAAGATAGGACGCGCGGACGTATGCCTCGTGCTGCTTTGACAGTGAACTCTAGATCGTCAAATGAATAAATATCAGACCAAAGTACTTTCCCAAACGATAGAAACTGCTTAAGTTTTGCTACCTCATCTTTTATCGCAGCGCAAAGGGTGGTGTCAGCTGATCGCCCGTGCATCAACGATGCCTTGCGTAATCGTGTGTGTGCTACAGAAAACTGCGCAAACTAAAATTGACGTATGAACTGAACGGCACTCGAGGTAATTGGTACCGAGCCTGCCTGATGGGTTTGCCGCAGTAGTAGGCCGCTAGCAAGTAGCACACCACCGTGGCTGCACAGGACCAAATGTTTAGTGGGGCTATAGTTTCCAAACATATTATGCAACGCTGCTTCTTAAATGGAGCACAAGCATTTAACTTTCTGCTTGTTTCATAACCATGCTCAGAATCTACCCGTGCACAATTCATTGCACTCGTATGTGGCAGGTTCCATCAGCTCATTCGAAACAAGGATATGAAAAAGAATACACACATATATTTACGCAATGTGAAAATTCCTCGAACCACAGCGTTATACGTAAGGTACCGGTGAAGTGCAGGAGAAGTTAGCAGAGAGGCGTAGATTGTGGTCGTAACTCCACATTTTATTGCTCTAATCATTTCACTTTGCTGGTAGAGCGTGAGCGTGTTTGCAGCATGCGGCACTCCATAATATCCACTGTAATTGGACTACATGCTATGCACAAGAATAACCATGCTTTTATTTTGATCTCACTGAAGGATATTATATATTAAATACAATCACGGCGACTTACAAAAGGGAATAAACATTAACGCACGAGGGGATGTGAGGTGTAACTCTCTCTTCGTGAGTTAGCAGCTGATCGTTCGTCACTGTCACTCTCGGTGCATTGACAACCTTCTATGCCCAGTAAATGAAAATCCTCGTCACGATGGCTTTTTTCACCATCACTGCTGAAAGCAATCTGTGGTGTTCCCTCTGCTAAACGACTTCGACAACACTAACAGCCCATTTATCTGGGCGCAGAGAACATTTCGCTCTGAAGCCCATTGCAAGTGAGTCGCTATAGGATTGCTTGCAGGGCGCTGCCATTTATAAACAAACGTATAAAAGCAAGCGATGCAGCGTTGGCCATGGTTCCGAGAGCAAATCGCGAGCCTGCACGACTTTCCGCCTAAAATGAATATTATGTAATTCGTGCACTACAAAAGCACTGACAAATGCTATGCGCACTTAAAACAAGCAGAGCTTGAATTGCAGTCAGACGATCACATTTAGCTAACCTACTTGACTACAGAAAAGTCTCGCAAAGCTTGTATGTGTACTCTGCGGGCTATAAGCAATCGAAAGCGTGAGTTGCCACATATATTCATGAAAACTTCGCTTCTCGCTAAAATGAATCAGATTTATCGTGTCACGGATGGTTTGGTTTATTCATTGATGCACGCTACTGTGCAAAATGGTTAGTGTTCGTTTCTTGCTAACGCTTTAACACCGAGGCTTGCACAGCCGAACAAGGGAGTGTCTGCTGCCTGACCATCCTCGAAAAGATCCTCCTGAATTCCGCGTGGCGGCGCAACAGTTCATGGGCGTTGCAAATAACGTAGGCAGCGCACCGGCAGCAAAGGGGAAAAGTCGCATCATAACGCCGTAAGTGGTTTGAAATTTATGAACGAGGTAGTAAACGCAGTAGTATCTGTAGCAAGCTCGATGATAAAGGCCTTTTACCAGGCAGAAAGCTGTTCAGTCAGTTTATAAGGACGGGATCGCGTGTGTCACGTTGAGCCACGCTAGCGATGCGAGTACACAGCAACATTGGTGCCGGTGCGAAGGCTTGTTGCCGTGGCAACTGCCCCTTCTTTTTCTTTCTTCTTCTTTCCCTCGCTTGTTCACTTCGCATCCCCTCTCCTCCGTAACAACCTCGTCGCTCGCTCCCCAATGGCGCAACCAGCGTGCCACCTTTCAGACCGCATTCGCTACCGCATTTGTCAAAGATTTTCCTTCCGGCAACTGCATTATAACCGGTATTTCAGCCTGAGGACTGGACAATAAGAGGTATGCATATGCATGGCGTTTTATAGGAGGGTAAACGGGATCCATCTTGATTGGAAGCGCAGCCACTATTACAACTATCAAGATGGATCCTTACCAACTGGCCCGATACAATTGTTTATTGGGTAAACGGGAGTCGCAAATGAATGCTTTGTAATTGGTTCTGCACTATAAGCGGTTATGTTATAAGTGGTCTACACTGTATTAGAAGTGGGAATTCGCTATTCTATTTCGCCAAAGCCACACAAAGCTTCTAAGCCACACAGAAGTCGAAATATAGTTGTGGTGTTGCAGTTGTGCATAAGTTTTTTTTTTCAAAACGGTGCCATAATTGCAGCAAGCATGTGTTCCTGCACAAGGACTAATAATTTCTTCTTGTGTATCACATATCAGGTGCGCATTGTAATATCGCAGCTAATGCTGGAAGTTCTAAAAGGCCTGGAGAAAACAGGCACCTGTTTTTTTTTTTTTTATCTTGTGGTATTTAAGCAACTTGTAGTGCTGCCCCTTTAGGCTTGGTTTATTGTGTTAGCATTCTAAACCTTATGCAAGCAGTTGCTTGGAATGTCAAGAAATTATTGGAGGTAATGGCCCTCTGGAGTACCACATGCCTAACATTTACTGTCAAATATGTTGCATGTGCGTTCACCCTTTTTCCAATCGTAGCAAAAAGGAAGCCTTTGGTGCGCCTTGAAAATGGCTTTCTCCCTTTCTCGTTTTGCCAGGTGTCCTGGCCGTAAGTTAAATCCAGACGCGACATGGCCCGTAGAGGACGAAGGGGAGGCCGAGGTGCGCAAGTCATCGCGCCTGCAGTCCGGACCCAAACCATCGGTTATGGCTGGCTACCCATCTCGGCTGGCTCAGGTCTATGGATTCCGGGAAGCACTGCTCGACCTGGAAGAGAAGCTGTACTCTGGCAGTCTAGGAATCATCAAGGCACGTGTGTTCTTGCTTTTAAAAGCCAAGCTCTCTATGTGAACTTTATTGTGCTTTGTGGGTTGTAGCTGCTGTTGACATGCAGGAAGCTAACACTGCTTGAATCAAACCAGTCTGCCGTAAAAAGAGGCCAACACTATCCTCACTAGGCCTGCAGTCATGCATGTGTGCCTGCTTTAACACCAGAAGTCGAAGTCTGCAGCGTTGGGTATTATTCTGATTGTACTTTCATATTTCGTTGCTGCCTGAGTTGATAGTTGAGGACAGAGGTCCAATTCTCATCCACAGGGATAGCAATATTGATTGGGAAGAAATAAAATGACTGTGTACTTCTATTTAGGTGAATGTTTCTGTATTTTTGGAGATTTGCCTTTTTCTTAAATGGCCAAAAGTGATACGAAGTCCTGTCTACAGCATGCTTCATAATATCATAGTTTTTCATATGAAACCTCAAAAATTTTGTATCTGTGGTCATTGCTGTAATGGCCGCCTCTCATCATGATGTGCTGATTTATCTCCGCCAAACAGTTGCTTGCATGCTTGAATATGTGCATTCTTTTTGCTGTATTTCTTCTACTGTAACACAAGGATGACTTTATTGCATCCAGGAAAAAAAAAATCCTCAAAAGTAACGCAAGGGGTGACTTCTAGTGAAAAAAGAAGGCAACTAATGTAACGTGATGTGAGCTGAGGCTTGAAAAAGCACATTTTTCAAACACTGTTTCAAACTGGGCTATTTTGCACCAACCCACATGATGGCATTCAACTTCGTTCACGTGGTGCTCATGTGCCAAGCGACATCAGTCGATTTCAACTGTATTAGTTTAACACCCACCACAATAAGGGCGATTGCACTGTTTCGTCGGGAAAGCACGAACAAGCTGCTCCAATTCGAAGTGGCACCTGTGCTCGTGCCTGCAAAAGAGTTTTGGCTGGAGCCACCACTTGCATATGGTCACTTCAGTAATGTCTACACATTAGCTGGATTGATTTCTTCAGCTGTCAAAATAGCACGCTTCTTGAAACGGGCGTTGTACTGAGCATGACAAGTTCCCATTGCAAGGAAGAGCTGAAGGTCAGTCGAAACATTTGAGAGGGCAACCAGAGCCACCAAGATCCCCACACACACCAGCACCTAACGGAAACGGAGAGTAGTGAATTCAAATGGCAGAGCCAGCATTGTTGCCAACATATATTACAAAAAATGGCCAAAACCGTACTTCATAATTGGGCGCACCAGTGCACTTTTCAGACTGCAATATTGATGCTCAGTTGTAGCGTGAGGGTCGACTTCAAAAGGTAATAACTTGAGAAAGAAAGTTCATGTTACATTTCAGTAAATACAGTAATATGTTACTTGTAACATAATCACTCCACTGATCGTTTTTTTTTTTTTTTAGGGAAATGATGATGATGCATAGCTGTACGGTGCCCACCCTTTAGTGTTCCTATTGTTATTGTTGTCATTTACATTGCAGGTTAATGTTTATTCAATCATACTTGTTAAATGTGAGTCTCATTTACGGGCACAAGATACTGGCGTTAATCCTTCTTTACTTTGCTTCGATCTACAAATTCACATTTTTCTTCAGTGGGCTCAACAATTTTATTTTACTAAGCTTTATTGTGTGTCATAATAATTTTTTTGTTCCCATTTTTTTCTTTGATTTTTTTTAAAAACATTGTGCAGTGTGTTCAAAGTGTATGTTTTAAACTGTTGATATTTATTGTTATCTAGTCTCATTCTGACATGGGGTCTAGCTGTAGCATCTGAAAATTGATTAGAGCTTTTATGCTATTTTGCCTCTCATAGCTTTCAATTGACGGGTAAGTGGGCATACTAATCATTCCTCTTTCTTGATCCCTTGCGCAGGTTGATCGGGTCCCATGGAGAGAAAAACTGGATGCCCTTTTGGCGACAGTCGAGACAGCTGACAAGGATCAGACAGAATTGTAAGTGCGCTCCACTTTGAAACTAGTTAAGACTGTCAGTAATGGGTCCATGGGCGTCTCAGAGACATTCACTTTAGCAGAGTAGACTTGTTAAATGTGTAGCAGAAGGTAGAAGAAGGGTACTGCTACATCGAATGACAAAAACCAACTGTTTTATTCGAAGCCTCTGCGTGCCGCCTCGCACCTGCATCCACTTCGTTGTCGTTGCTGCGCCGGCACCAGCAGCATGCAACAGGGCCCCCCGCCGTATAGACAGAGCCGCAGTCAAAACGTGCCGATTAGACAGTCCTGGTCGAACAGCAGAGTAGCGAAGGGGTTTTCAGTTGTTTTTTGCACGTCGGTGCTGCAAGTGGCGTAAAGGGCGGGTATCGCACAAGAACGTTTCATCAGGTGTACTGAAATGAAGCTCTTTCGTGTCCCAGGTTCGATAGCTTTCTTTGAAACTGAGCGGGATATTCCATCAAAGCTTTGACAGGTTGAGCCTTCGATTGAGCACATGAACATGCCATTGGGGTGTCAATCTGCGTGTGCATGTAGCAGTGAGACATGGCTTGTTTTGAAATGGGATGCGTCGATCGAAGCACAGGCAAGAGGGCGAACAAGGGTGAAAAAACGCTGCTGCGCTGGACCTCATATTGACTAGAAACCTCGCGTTGTCCTTGACCTGTGGGCAGGAGCCTCGCGGCGGTGTTGTGGGGTGGGGCTTGGCGTTTGTCGATTACAGAGAGCTGTGCAGCTGCGTCGAGCTTTTGTGTGAACACGGGTGCATCAGGTGATGTTAAAGCTGGCTGACCACACGTACGACATGGTGGGCATACGGCAGTGTTAGCGATTGTCAACTTCTGAGGCAATGCTTCTGGTAGAAGCTTACTAGAGGCCCAGTTGTCCAGCGGGTATCCCGTTCACACAACTGGCGAGGAGGGATCCGAACCATCGGCAAGATTTTGTGCGGTGGCGCTGGCATGGCAGTGTCTGAAGGCACGGCTGTTTGTTCACTTGACGGACAGAGATGAGCAGCTCCGACGAGTTTTCGAACGGCCTTTGGCATCGCGCACATCAGCTAATGATGTTGGCGATGCTTCACAGAGTTGTGCTTGTAGGCACAAGCTGGCGTCGGTGATGGCAGGTGTGGCAGAAGCAGTTGGCGTGAGAGGGCACTCATCTGTGCACGGGATGTTCTCATTGTTGTCTTGGTTTCGTCGTCGAAAACCATGTCGCGCAATGGCTGTTGAATACAGTTGAATCATGTTTTCCTATGCCTTTCTAAGTTGTTGCTTAGCAGCTTAGTCTAGGAAAGTTGATGTTTTTTACTGCGGCTCAGGTAACAGCTCTAATGAGCAGTAGCTTGTGGGGATGAAGAAAAACAATAATAATACAGTTGATACCGAACACATCAAACTTGGATATATCGAATTGTTGGCTATATCGAACAGTTCAAAAATTATCTTGAACTTCCTATGCAAAAGTATGAGACCGGTGCACCCATATATCGATCGCTGCGCTGCGCCGAAGCCCAGAAAGTGCATTTTTCCAGGCAAATATTGATCAATTTTGGGTTGCGTTCTAACAAGTTCCAATTCTTTTTTGCGCGTAGGCGACGAAAAAACGCGCGTTATTACATCACGCTGATCTGGTTCGTTGCGCGGCACTTGCTACATCTGTACGTTTGATGCGCGATCTGCAGGTCTTAGCCCGCGGACATAATGTTTTCCAAAAAACCGATTGCCAAAGGCACCGTAATGAGAATGGGAAAGGACCCGATGATCACACTGCAATGTTTGTATGTGCTTCGCATTCCCGTCCTTGTTGTTAGTGCACAATGACATGCAAGCCTGAAAAGCATGGCCTTCGATATGTGCTACTTTGTCACGTATTTTTAGTATTTTCGGTTTTAAAACACATGTCTCAGAGGCTACACTTTTTTTTTTTCCGGCGTTAATCGCTAAAAGCAGCGGCTGCCAGCCACAAAGCCATAGTGACATCGATATCGCTAACATGTTGATAGTGAGAACTCGGACGAACACGGCGTTGCGTCTTTTGCGGCTTGTGCATTTGCGCACCTCTCGCCTCGTACCTGATAAATCCTCATTCGGGAGTTTAACTGAACGTTGACCCACACGTAGCGATAAAAATTATGACTGGCACTTGGAGCAATGTCAAGTAAAACACTGTGTTGTGAACAATCCTTGCGGGCCAGGTGATGACTTCGGGTGCGTCATGACCGCGAACAACGGCGTGTGGTGCCTCAGTGAATTCTGCAACTTGGCATTTCTGTGTACCATCTGGGACAGTAGCGACTTCAACGGTACATATGACGATGCTGTTTCTGACTGCATCGATGCTGAAATTTTGGCTGCCGTTGCCGGGAAGTGTAGCTTTGCGGTTTTATGATTGCGCCAACGCTTTCGCTGCCGCCGCTAACCAAGCTTTTGCTGGGCTACAAAGTTTGCATTGGCGTTCTGCGTCAACCAACGTTGTGGCCGAAGGAGCTAAGTTCACTTATTTGAAAAGCTTTAATGATATTAAGGGTGACTGGAACTTTACAGCGTGCAAGAAGCAAGAAAAGTTTACAGACTAAATAAGGTGTCGCAACCTGCAGTTCGCACCTTGTTTTTGAGCGAAGGCCTTAAATATGCATATTTTGTATTTCGAATTCTCGATATTTCGAACTATTTCGCTATCCACTTCGAGTTTGATATTTCCGGAATCGACTGTAATCGCACTTGTTTAGCAAGTGGCTTTGTGAAAATGTAGTGTAGCTGTGCTGTGGCGATAAATTCAGATTTCACAACAGCTATTCGAACTTGCTGGTGATCAATACACCTCAGTGAACTTTGGTTTAATGATAAGTTTTAAGGTATTGTAAATGTGGGCTTGTTGGTCAAAGATTGTCAAAAGGAGCAGTGCACAACCACAGGACTGACAAAAAAAAAAAAAAATGCAGCACTACTGTGGGGTTTTTTTTATGGCATGATTGTGCACAAGTTTTTCCGACAAAGGTTGTAAGAGTATTGAGTTGTAATGTCTGTCGGCATTTACCCCGAGTTTTCTAACATAAAAACAAAATTTACACAAGGATGAGCATAGAAGGATAAGACTGAAAGTGTTAACCACACACTATCAGGTTGTGTTTATTGGTAGCACATGAAAGGAGAGACAAATGCAACTTGAATGAATGTTGCTTGATAGTTTGCACACCACTTGTTCAGTTTCGTGCCTGTATGTCTAGTCTGTTTTCTTATGCTATTGTTAGTCAGCTGCTTTATCAACCTGTGCAGTTGGAAACATTGTTGGCCCTGCGGACAACTGCAGAAAAATTTTAAACAAATGGGAAGCATAGTTACAGATACAGTGCACCCTAAATCTCAGTATAACAAACACGGATGCAAAGAATTGTTGGTTACATCAAAGTAAATAGAAAAACAATCTTGCCATAGTTTTACAGATATACGTCTACAACAAATTTTTGGATATACACTTGAACCTCGATATAACGAACTTGGATATAATGAATATATCTGTTATAAGAAAGTACATGAAAAATAGTCTTGCAATAGATATAGTGTTAGAAATAAACCTTTACAACGAAGCTTTCAGATGCTACGAACTTATTTTTGTGTAAGATGCAACTTTGTAATAGTGAGGCTTGAGTGTAACAAACATACTTTCTTGTCAGATGCAAGTTAGTTTTAGTGAGGTTATAGTGTAGTTATAAGAGAGTCTCTGTGGACAATTTCACATTTCACATGTCTGAAGGGGTAATGAAACGTTCGTAAAATGTGGTAATGCCATTACATTGGCGTTGTTCAAGTTTTTTTTTTCTGTTCTTTACAGAGTAAAAATTGCATCCACATTGGACTACGAGGCTGAAGTTCGTTTCCTTTCACAAGCGCTACTTGACGTCTCAATGGGCATCGAGCCAAAGTTTCTTCAACCGCCACTGGGTAAGAATTCTCCGCTGTTACGAGCGAGCTTTTCAAGCGTCGTTCATTTTCCCAACTTTGAACGATGCTTTGATGGTTGCGCACTTTCTGAACTTTGCAGGAGAGTCTGAAGAACAGCGTAAAAAACGGAAAGCTGTGGAACTCGCCCGCATGCAGAAGAAGGAAGACGGGGAAGGTAAGATATTAGCGTTCGTGCTTTCATAACAAAGTTGACTGTTCAAAAGTATGAATGAAGAAAGAGGAATTCTTAAAGGGGAATTTTTCTTTGTTAGACACGACATTAATGAGAAACGTACTGGGGATGTGATTTGTAGTAATGAATATATACCTCGTTTACTCGCGTAATGACCCCCCCCCTCCACCAGAAAAGTTGACGCCAATAGACCTCTACCGGGGTACGTCACAGCGTGACGGCACGGGCGCACGTGCAAGGCGGTGGTTGGCAAAACACTCCCGCCGGTGGCTGAGTGGGGTTTAGTCACTCGGTGCTTGGGGTAATTTTTTTTTTTTTCTTTTTGAAGGCTTAATCTTCATCTCACAGTGGCAACATTAGCTGTGGTATGTGTCAGAGAACATCTAGGTGTGTGATGAAGTGCGTGATGAAATATTCGCCGTGCTGGCTAGCTGTTTATCTGAGAGAAGGGAACACACATGGCGGCCAGTGCGAGGAACAGCGCCATCGTCTTCGAAAATGTGCAGTGTTGGCTGTGGCGTGTAGTGTGCGTTGGAAGACATTGACAATATTGGTTCCCTTTTACGGACGGTGAAACTGGGAATATTGGGCGTGGTGTGTGCAGTGTGAATAACGCTATGCGTCCTGTTTGTGAAAACACTGGTATTCGTTGTGGGCCGGCTTCAGTAACCGGTTGTCGATGGAACTTCGCAATCCGACATTGTAGTCGAGGTAAAAATACGTTTGACGTGATCATCTGCGAGTGGGTACATCTCGGCGTATGTGCGGCAGTAGAAAAAATGAAAATGCATGATCTGTGGGTGATATGTACGACTACGCATGAGCTACAAGCATGTTGTAGCGTTGCCGAATCTACCTATACGCTTCACCACGGCTATAACTCGTATTATCGGATACCTAATACGAGTTAATGGAAACAGTGGAGATTGTTGTTTCTTATCTACTGTGTACTTCTACAGCTCGATTCTTATGAAGTGACAATTTGCATTAGAAGTGTGTATCATGCCTAAAGGGGCAATATAGGTACGAAAACACTTTATAAGTGTTTCTTACGTCAAATGCAGCAAGGTAACTGTGCCAGATAATATTATATATTATTAAGATGTCGGGTTTTACATCACATGAGTTTTCACTGGGTTATTGAGAAACGCAGCGACAGAATTTCACTTTGATTTTCACGAGGATATCTTAACCTCAGCCTAATTCATGCCAAGAAGTGTTTCTCTCTCTCTCTCTCTCTTTTTTTTTTTTTCATTCATCTGCGATCAGACTTTTGGGCAATGAGTGAGAATCTTCTCCGTGACGTCGCGCACAGCAGCTCAAGACCATGCTGCTGCCAATGCTGTGTCTCGTTTGAAACTGCATTGCACATGCCACGATATAAATTGAATAAATTTACATCCATGCCATGCAAATAAGTGCCAGTAACCATGTGCATTCAAAACATTTCCTTTTGAAAAAAAAAATATGTTTTTATGGCAGTCATCTACGTGGGTGAAGCCCACTGCGTGCTAATCGTGTCTCTCAGTACTCTAAATAAAGTTTCTCCGTCCATCCAACTACGCCGAGCAAATTTCCACACTATGAGCAGTGACCCTTCCGCGACCCTCTTTCAAAAGCTGTGATCTTAGAACATCGCAATGTAGAAATTTCTGTCGAATGAATGCAGACACGCAGCTCTGCTATGCAGAAAGATGCCGCTGGAGGAAGAAACAGGGAGAGGTCTATTTGGGGGAAGGGTTCACTACGAGGGAAAAAAAAAAGGGGGTCACAGGGAGTTATAACGGCAAATGTTTTGCATAGCATTATTAAGAAACTTGCTGTCTAACCGATGCGGACCTTCAATGCAGTGGCATATGGAGCTGTTATTCGAGAACTTCGCTCCCCACAAGAAGAAACTGTCCTTGTTTTCGCCCACAAATGCATGGCGAACCTTTTTTGTAGCCCGAAGTCGTTTTCTCTCATAACAAACACTCGCGGATCAACGCCAAAGTGTTGTCAAGCCGCTCGGCTCCCATTCTTCAGAGCATACTCGACCATCTTGGAATTCAAAACCAGCCGATCATGTCCTGTGCAGCAGATGTCCAACAAACCCGACATTAATAATGCAGCGTCGGGTGTTGGCGCACATGCGCTGCAGCCGAGCGGGTGAACTGGGTCGTCGCACGAGCTTGTGCTGTTTTTTGCTTTGTTTTTTTTCCTTGTTTTCGCGTCGCTATGTTTTTGTGGTGCTATAAGCAAAAAGGTTTCTTCTGCGTTCAACAGATGGCACTCTGTCGCAAATGACGTGACTTTTAAATTTTGATTGACGCCGTGCACGCTCGCAATGCTCACAACTGTTTAGCGTGGTTCTTACACTGTTTGAAAGACGGTAGTCTTTTTTGGGGACCTTCGGCGCAAAAATTTTGGTCTGTCTGTACATTTCTCTGTCTTCTTTTAATGGCATTGGGTACTTGCCTTTTAACGGCCGACCCCATCCGCAGCGCCCACCGATGTTGCTCAAGGTTGAGCGTTCATGCTTGTGCAATTGTCAATTAAAAAGCAATTATTGCACATGTCTGGGGTACCATAACAACACGTATATATTCTGCATGTGCTTCTTTTACTAGAAAAGGCATACATAAGTAATTTTCAGGACCGTGGCGCTTATCACGCTGCGCTGACCATGCAACGCTTGCACGGAACGGGGAGTGTTTTCAACGCTTTGCTAAGACGAGACGGTAATGGAACCTAGGCGTCGCGTTGCGTTCTATACTTTATCACCTCTGAGATGGGCACGCACACCCATCTCAGAGCCACGCGCTTTGTTTTCTAATAAAACTGCCAGATGGCGCTCATGTCTCATGTGTGACGTGACGATGCGCTCGTTCGCCTCCGCTGCACGCTCGAGGCACTCTAACGCAGCGCCTCCAGAATACCACTCACCGATTTTCTTGAGCAGAACATCAAATGAATGTTTTGTTCACTCTCTTCATACGCAAGACTATCGTCTTTTGTCGAAATTCACGGAAACATGCAGATACGAGGGCCAATTTTTTTCTTTTATTTCGTCATTATTTTGTGATTTAATTGTGTGTTTTAGCGTTGTTTCTATCACCAACTGCACTGGCTGTCTCGCCTAAGTAAAATGAACAGATACATGAGAAAGGGTTTTTTTTTTTTCTTTTTCAAGGATCAAGGTTGGGGGCGGGTTCATCATGCAAGATGGTTCATTACTACGCGAGCGAATACAGCAGATGTGAAGAAATTAAAGTGGGCGAAAAGATGACATGTCGCTGGCAGGGACTGGACTTTCAGCTTTCGAATAATATATTCGATGCTAACTGAGCTACAGCAGGAGTCAGCGTCCTGTCCATGTAAACAGGTATATCTTGTGCATTTCAACCTGGGACTGTTATTCAGTGCCACTTGCAGTTATTTACTTTGAAGACTCCAAGAAGTTGGGTTCCTAGGAACCACCGCTGAAGGATTCTGCTGTGGAGAACAAGTCAAAAAAAATTTAAAAAATGGCATGATGGGAGGGTTGCTTGCCTGGGATATTTCAAATATCCCGTAAATGGGGGAGAATAGGACGCTTGCTCTGGATTTTGCGGTAGTAGATTTTGTTGATCTCAGCATTCATATACTTGATTTCAAAAAACCTTATGACTCAATAGATGTGCCTGATGAGCCACCAAGCAAGTCGTCGTTGTTGGAGAACTGGCGCGAGTCGGTGAGCGGGTGCACGTCGGTGGCCCAGCTTTTCCTGCACCTGTCGTCCCTGGAGCGGAGCGTCGCGTGGGACCGGTCGGTGTTGAAGGCCTATTGCCGCATCTGTCGACGGAGGAGAGACCCCGAGCGCATGCTGCTTTGTGACGGATGCGACCGCGGACACCACCTGTACTGCCTGAAGCCTCCGCTCGAGGTGGGTCGCTGTTTCAAGTACCAATTCAGATCGCAACAATCGGCACGGAGGCTAGAGCACTGCTCTTCATGTTGGCTTGAGTGGGCACTAAGCGCGAGTAGGGCAGCGTGCTGCATCTAATGTGAGCCCGCCTCTCATCATACATTCACCAATAGACACCGAGTATAAGAAACTGCTCCTAATGAATCACCCCATTTGGACTCCAGTAAATGACACTTGGTGTCATGCAAGGTCATGACAAATACTATCCACATTGGCGGTACAGTGGTTACAATCCTGGCCAAGGCCATTGCATTTCAGTTGGGGTGAAATTCTAGAGGCCCGAGTTGCTGTCGAATGTTGATGCACGTTAACGCCAGGGGGTCGCTTCTTCATTCGCTTCTTTTACAGTTTACACTGTCATTTGTGCTAAATGCGCATATAATTTCAAATGCCAAGTGTGTGACAATACATCTATTCTTGATCTGCAGGAAATCCCGATAGGCGACTGGTACTGCGTATCCTGTCGTCCCAAGGAGAAGCCAGCTACCCCTGCCAAGCGCAAGTACATCGAGGAAGAAGAAGAAGAGGACGAGCAAAAGGATGAGGAAGACGAAGATGAGGACGATGTAGAGGTTGAGGAGGACGAGGACGAAGAGTCCAACGAAGCCGAAGAGGAGGACGAGTGAGCTATTCATTCACTGTATTCACCATAAAATAACTAAGGGTTAGGCAGTTTGTTAGAGACAAAGCAGTCATTGTGGTACTGTAAATATTAGTTGCATTCGCGCACGTACATTGAAAATTGTTAGTAGCCCCAAGCAGAAGAAACAAGTAGCAGGAACGAGCAATGCCATTATAAGAGGATATTTGAGTCTTGCATTATTTCAAAACTGAAAAATGGAATGGTAGTTCGCGAGCTTAACTTGTCAAAACTTCAAGCAAACTTCTGTGTGATGCATTCCTTATGTTTTCCCAGCATGTTCTGTCTCAGTTTAGGAAGCATGTGTGGAAATGGCTTTAACTCTGCCATTACCTCGCCTATTCATATCGATCACCGGTGATTGACGTTTCGCATCGTCGATTTTGGCGTGTTGAATTTTTCATGTACCCAGCACTTTCAGCAAGTTAGTCCAGCCACTCAACTTTCTGAATCAATTTGAATTTGCCCGTTTTGATAACATCGTTATTTTGACAGATTTTTGCACGAGCCAATGTGGGTGTGTTAAGAAATTTCACTTGGCTGGCGAACTTGACAAAAGTGTGGGCTCCTCATGGTTATGCTACAGTAACATCAAACTTTTGTGATCAAAAGAATCTTTGCTAGTCAGATATCAAATTAAGGTGTCAGCTTCACCATCTGACAATGTTGAGCAGTAATAATTACCAGAAAGTTATTCCAGCTTTGCAATATATTGAGAGTTGTTGCTAGGAGTCAAGGAAAATTCATTTGTCAACAAAGTATGTACAAAGGTCAGCCACAGGTATAAAATGTGTTGGTGGCCTTCTCAGTCAGTTTACAGCAGCTTTGGCTTCGGTTGTATCGTTATACAAGACACATGGCCGCATCTAGTGTCATTAGTCGCTCCTATGGCATTGTTGTCATCCGCCCGTGAGTGCGCCCTTCTACTTCGGCTTCACCATTCTCCTGGCAAGAGAAGTTGCGTGCGATAGTGTCCACTGCCGACGCTCTCTGAAGACGACGACAACTGCGTCTCCGCTGCTACCCTCAGCCACAGCGTGGCCAGCACGCGATGGGAAAGGAGGAGCGTCTCGACGCGGAGAGAAGCAGATAGGCTTTTTTTTTTTCCCCTCTCATTGTGCGCGGCGTGGAAAAATAAGGGTCTACGTGGCAGGGACGAAAAAGAAGCGTGGCACTGGCGCGTCGCAGATCGGCATTTGAGAGAAAGTTAACATACCACTGCAGCCTTTTTTTTTTTTCTTCTTTTCCTTCTTTGCATGCAATGTTGAGGTGCCAAAGGTGCCGCCGCCGAATTGGGTGTAGTGCTGTGAGCATTTTCGGAGCGCGGTATGTTCGAAATAACCGTCGCAAGTGCTTGCGCATTAAAATTACCGGGCGTTTTCACCCATTGGAATACACATAACTTTGACGGGACCACAGCATCAGTTCTAATTAACCAGAAGTTCGAATTAAGCATGTTCGAATTAATGAGATTCGACTGTAGCTACTGTGGTTAGGTGCAAGGTCCTCGCGTCGCTGGGGCGGTGTGCTGGCGCCGGCTGCAGAGTTTCTCCTCCCGACAAGAAGGCCACCGAAGCACATCTCTGCCCTGACCATGGAGCAGCGCAAAACGTTTTATAACTGCTCGGGATATTGTTCTTTTTTTCAAAATGATGTGCAAAAATATCAAAGTATCTGCTTGGGTTCATATATTGGATTTGCCAACCTATGCGGAGCAAGGTGGCTCATGGAAAGAGGTGACGTCAGACAAAATAGCAAAGTTAATTTGACATCTGATTTATAGAGGGATCGTTCACATCACAGGCATCCATCTATATTGGAACACTTGCAGGCTCTAATAGCAAGAAAACCAAAGTTTACAGAGAAAAAATGTATGAGCTCACTTGTGCCTCACTAAAAACCAAGCAATGCTCCACTGCAGGGCACGAGCAAAGAAGTAGCGCATTGGTTCCGATTTTTTTTTGTCTACATTAATAGAAACATTTTGTACAACATTTATTATTATTTATACTGTTTGTGTCATTTATCTTCAAAACGTATATTCTGAATTTTCTTTGTTTTGAATATTTTTGCATAGAGTTTTTTATTGTACTGTTTAGGAGCTGGAATTCAAAAAATTACACACACTCCACATTTTTATTCATTCCAAAATATTTTTGTTGCTCTGCAACATATATTTTTTGAAAAGAGCATTTCATTGTGCAAAGTTTGGTATGCTGCAATGCATGCTGGAGTACTTTGCAAACTGGCAATAACTTTTTGCTCGGGATATATGAAAAATAAGCATTTTCATACAGTAACAAAACAGTTATTGTCACTAAGTCGTGCCGTGTACTTCAGCTCACATCTTGCTTTTGCGTTTGCCCGCAGAGCCGAATCGTCGTCCGACGGCAACGACGATTCCTGTGACGCGTGTGGCAAGGGTGGCACACTCATCTGCTGCGATTCTTGCCCCTTGGCCTATCACCTGGAGTGCACGCGACCCCCACTGCGAAGGCTACCCCGTGGAAACTGGAACTGCCACAAGTGCACGGTTGCAAAGCAGCGTTCGTCAGACAGGCCATCGGCTAGGGGTGCGTGCTTGTTTCTTTGCACAGTTTACTCTGGCATGATGTGGATCCCGAGTTTGCAGAGAAAAAAAATTCGCCAGCTAATAGATACTTTTTTTTTTCTTAAAAGACTTGTCTTTAAGGCATATTATTTTTGTGGGTATGTTTGTTAAATGTGCGCCGTTAGGCCGGTGTTGTGAATGAAGTGAAGTAGTGTCTTGTGGAATGTGTTGTCATGTATCCAGCGGTTGAACTATCTGTGTCGCTGTAGCGAAGGCCAGCTTGGAGGGGGTGGGTGGAGTGTTCATACTCTCTAATGCGAAACTTGAGAGCACCTGTATGCGTATCTTCATTTCCCAGGTTCGCTGGCGATCACTGTGATAAGCTTGTACTTTGACTGCATTGAGTGCAAATAAGATACTACGGCGCCATCTCGTATGCAATGCAGCGCTCTACTTTTCTCTAGAATTTCTGAACATACTTATTCATTTGCATCCCTTAAGCTACGATAAGAAATGCCACAGGAGCACGCATCTAGAAGGGCCACTCTACGGCAGTTTCATTGGTAGTATTTGTAAATTGTCGTTTCTCAATACCAAAAGCACCAGTCTAGTCGCAAGATGTTTGGCGAGTCAAAAAGTGCATATAAGGAAAAAAGTGAGTGCTGCGACATGGCCCTAAAGTTCTCGCACCAAGCTCACCATATTGTTGTAGATTTTATAGTCGAGAGCTTAGCGGAATCCTGTCTCTTCAGGGACAATTATATTGAAATAATTGGAAAATCCCAGACAACATAAAGGGGGCAATATTTTCAAGAGACGTTTCAGCTCCCACATGGGCGCCTTGTTTACAGTTTGTGAATAAAGCTTGCAGAAGCCGTAACATATTTTTCTTCCCCTTTTATTTTTGTCGCCGTTTTTCTTTTATTCCGTGTTGTAGATTTTAACAGCATCTGCTTTGGCCCGCGTAAATTTATACTAGTAAAAGTGAATCGGAGCAAGAGACCTTGACTTGGCAGGCATTATTGGCTGAAGCGCTAACAAAGGCTGTCTGTGATATCAGGGGCTGATGTTTCAGCACAAATGTAATAAAGATGAAACCCTGCCCTTCATTTTCTCTTCTTGTTGTGCAACCTATGATTGTGTTCAAATAACGGTTTCTCAATCTAAGGATTAGTGCTTCATTTGGCTGTTCTTTTGAAATTGCCATACTTTTTTAAATGTGCTTTCGTATAAGAACTCTTTTCAGCGTTTCAAATGCAAGTAGCCGGACACTAGGCTATTTATTGTAATTTGTAGTCCTGCACTGCTGGTGTTCTTACAATCAGTGCTTAGCTCTAGGGGTGTCATGCTTTATTTATGAAGTAAACTTGTCCCACAGGTAAGGGCACCAGGACGAGGTCACAAAGCGCTGCTGCCGAGTCCAAGCGCTACATCGAGAGGCGACAGAAGAAGGAGCACAGTAAGTGGTGACCATCGTCCTTTTGTACAGTTTGGGCTGTGTGTTCGCAGCCTCCATCTCTGCTCTCCGTTGGTACTTATGTAACTTGCATGCAGAAAGCTGTGTGCTCCCCTCCCCTGCAGACAAAAAGCAGCAGCAACAGCCCTCTGCACAGTCTGATCCGTACCGTCCACCCCGAATAAGCTTCAAACGCTCCAGGGTCAGCTGGGAGGATTCCTCCTCAGTCAGCGAGGAAGGTGAGCACAGACTTGCTCTTAGCTCTGTATATTGAGCTTCTATGGTGCCACACGTTTTGTTTATCGAGCATAGTAAATACAGTTGTCATGCGGTCGTGTCAGCTTTTATTGTCCCATTGAACATGTATAATGGCAAAGCAAATCTGGGACAGAAAGTATCGTTACATTTGGAGCTAACAATGTGTTCGGAGCGCTGGCTGTATTTCGGGCAACTTGTAAGTTTTTACTAAAACCTTGGATGTTGTGAGAACATTGATCACTTTGTATTGAAACAGGCATCACGTCACGTGCCTCGTCACGACGATCCAGCCAAGACCTCCCACTCGACTTCAAAGCCTGTGACGAGATTCTTCAGTCACTCGTCCACGATCAAAATTCGTGGCCCTTCCACTGCGCAGTCAGCCGTCGGGTGAGTGTATTGATATGTTATCAATAATACCCTTTTTTTTTTTTTCTGAGAAATTTGAGATTGTAGCTCTAAGGGCGAATTGTTATGAGCAGCAATTATCACATCAATGGTGTTTTCAAATGCATTTTTGTATCTGTGATCTATATTCTATGACAACTTCGGGAAAAAATGGTCAATTCTGCCCACTGCAATTGCCGGCTCTTCCACAAATAATTTGCATGCACTCTTTAAAAATTAAGTATTTGGGGATTGTTTCTGCTACACAACAATAATTGTGATCTACTTCGAGTACTTTCCTCGTGCTATCACCAAGGTTCCAGTAGTTGTGAACGGCGCGGGCGTTATCAGTGTGACATAGCGATCCCGACAGGAAAGTGGCCAGCATCCAGTTTTCAAGAAAGAAAATGCAAGAAGTCAGATTACTATTATTGTTGTGTAGCAGAACTACTACTCGAATACTCCATTTTTTTTTTTTTGGATTGTAGGTGCTCCATCTAATGGCACTTGCTCATTTTTGTGACATCAAGCACTTCTGAGATAGTAGTAGCTGTCTGAGATAGTAGTTGATGTTCCTACACCAACTCGCGTTTGTGTCACTGGTTTCATGCCAGAAACTCGGCCGCAATGGTAAGACCCATCATTCATTCTGGCAATGCTGTGCAGCCAAGCCCAATGCTTAATGTTGTAGCAACAAATATTTAACTCCAGTCATCGCAGTGTTTACATTAGCAGAGAAAAAGCACTTCAGTTGGTGCGGAAGTTAGCTTGCCATTCACAGGTGATCGTCAGGTGCACTGTGTGCCGTCGTCTCAAGACAGAATGCTGTTGATTTTGCTGAACTTAGGGCTTACACTAAAGCTATAGTCATTACAAGCACCCTTCAATCTGTATGACCAATAGCTGTAAAATCCCTAGCAAGCACACCCCCCTCTCCTATTCATTTTCATTCTGCTCTACAGAATCCTGCTGCAGTGGTCCTTAGGAATCCAAGTCTGAGAGTGTCTAGATACGTGCACATTTTCTTCATGCTTCTATACTTGTGGTGCCTCTAAGTTGCATTATGAGTGTTCATAAATTGTCGAAACATTGAAGACCTTCTTATAACCCATCAAGTTTCATGCAACGCTACCATCTTACTCGGTAAAAAAAAAAAAGTAAATACGTGCATATTTAGTGAAACATTGTTTTAGAAGCACAAGTGTGATTCATCTTATAGGCTCTTCCATCGTCATCTTGAACTTTGTCTGCGGCTGAGCAGAAGATTCTCCTCGATATCTGGTCCAATTCTTTTATCAATGGGGGGTTGGGGAGGGGTGCCTGCTTAGTGCTTTTTTGGTATTATATTAAAGGGCCAGTGAACAACCCCAAAGTTCAAAAATTTTAATCAAGAAAAATACCATGCACGCTTTTGCAATGTGAACATGCTGCCGCAAGAATTTTGCGAATACTTACTACAAAAATAAGAAGATCACAAAGGTTAGAACATCCGTTTCAAATTTTCGCGCAGCCGCTCGCCACCCTTCTCCGCGAAGAAGTACAGTGAAATCCCGTTATAACAAACCTCAGATTAACGATTTTTTCAGATTAACGAATATTTCGGAAATCCCTTTCCAAATGTCCATTGGTTCAATGTAAAAATATTTCACTAATACGAATTTCAGAATAACGAATGTTTCAGAATACCGTATCAAATTTTATCACCCTGGTACCTTAAGAGCACTTCAAAATAACGAATTTCTAGCGTAAAAATTACGTGCGGCGGTATAAATGCCCAGCGCCATATGTGGCACTATCATCATCATCAGAGCTCCTGCTCATTTCTCCATGCGTTGCCTTATGCTAAATGCGCACTAGCCTGGCTAGCCCTATCGCCATCGCCAGTACCTTGTTTTCGATTTTTTTTTTTTTTTTCCCCATGCTTGTTGAGCCAGGTTGAGCCTAACCTCGCCGCCTTTATTTTGTTACGTCGACCGGCAACGTCGCCCGATTGTCGTACGGCGTTTTAAAGGTTAGAGTGATTCGTTTCTGCGTTCGCGATGAGCTCCGGAAGCAGCGCGAAAAAGAAACGGAGGCAGTTTTCTTTGAAAGAAAAAGTGGATATTCTTTCTCAAGTGAACGTCGGTAAAAAACAAATCCACATTGCGAACGAGATGGGGGTTGCACCATCAACTGTCGCAACCATCCTGAAGGACCGACAAAAGATCCTCGAGCTGCACCGAGGGTCCCAACTCGCTCCGTCAAGAAAACGGCTCCGACTTGGGAATTTCCGAGAAGTGGATGCTGCAGTACTGACTTGGTTCAAGGACGCGCGTTCTCAAAATGTGCCGGTGTCGGGACGCATGCTGCAGGAAAAAGCCCGGCAATTCGCTGATGCTTTGGACATCACAGGCTTCGAAGCAAGCGCGGGGTGGCTTCATCGTTTCCGTGAAAGGAATGGAATCACCTGGCAAGTGGTGTCTGGTGAAGAGAAGGCGGCAGACGCAGCAAGCGCTGCTGCATGGAGGGAGGAGAAGTTCCGCGAAATCGTCGCTTCATACTCCGAAGATATATTCAATGCGGACGAAATGGCGTTCTTCTATCAAATGCTTCCTGATAAAACCATGCATTTTAAAGGGAACAGCTGCAAAGGCGGCAAGCAGTCCAAAGTCCGGATTACGGTATTGTTATGCTGCAATTCCACAGGCACCAAGAAGCTGAAGCCCTTGGTGATCGGCAAATACAAGAAGCCTCGCTGCATGAGGAACGTTGTTTCATTGCCGTGCGATTATCGGGCTAATTCACGCGCGTGGATGACACGAGAGTTATTCTCTGAGTGGCTACTAAAGGTGGACGATGAGATGAGGAGCGCAGGTAGGAAAATCCTGATTATCGCCGACAACTGCTCGGCGCATCTTGTTAATGTCAGGCTGACAAATGTACAGCTGGAATTCTTGCCTCCGAACTGTACGTCCTTGCTCCAGCCACTGGACCAAGGCATCATAAAAAGTGTCAAGGCCCATTACCGGACACGCCTGGTTCAGCGATTGCTGATAAATCTTCGGATGAAGCTGCCTACCTCCATCAATGTGCGACAGGCCACAGAAATGGTTACTGGGGCCTGGTGGAGCGTTACACTCGCGATGGATGCTCGGTGACGTTCGAGGACTATGTGCTGTGCGACGACGAAGCATGCACGTCAGCCGAACTGACGACCGATGACATCGTCAGTGCTGTTCGTGGTGATAACAGCGACGAGGACGCCAATGGCGAAGACGACGCTGAGACGCGCCCGTTAGCCAACCAGAAGAATCGCTTTCCAACGCCGACATCATGGAATGCGTGCGAAAGATGCGCACTTACCTTGGCAGGTGCAGCAATGCCACCGAAGCAGAGCATAAGAATGTGGACAACTTCGAAGCGTTCGTCCTGCGGCAGTTGAGCGCCACCCGCCAGGCCAAGATCACCGACTTTTTCAAATAACGTGCGCTCATTCCGGAAATACTTCGCGTTTGTTTCTTTTCACGCTCGTCATAAATCAAGCGTTTGCGGATGTGTACACAGCAAAGGTAGGCGACTCCTTTTGTTGCATTTACGATTTTTAATGCGAATTTTCGATGTTTTCACTATAACGATATTTCAAAATAACGAACTATTTTCCACGGTCCCTTCAAATTCGTTGTATCGAGATTTCACTGTAGCCCCTCGTCGGGACTTCGGCGACGTGACACGGCTTTCATGATACGCCAATAGCGCACAACCAACAACCGAGCGGGGCTTCCCCCAGCATGTGTAGGAAGCGTGGAGGGAGGAGCACTGTTCTCTTAGTGGTACAAAAGTGAAGCATCTCTTTATCTCGGAGGTTTTCGTTCTGGCAATACCGCTTCTCCCAGATTCTCGGGCTGTTAGAAAAATGAAAATGTGGACTGCGCAGCTAAAACTGCATCGCCACAGTACAGTGTGTACAGTAAAACAGGGAAGTGTACAGACCGTGCCACCGGCTCTGAGGCCGCTCCGCGATGTGCCAAAAAGGAAAATCTGGAGGGCACTGACACCCGCGTACACGGCCGCTCGCCTCTAGTTGTGTGCTCTCCGCGGTGCAAATAGGTCAAGTGCACCAATGTCTGTTCGAATTATGCTGTGTTCTTTCTGTGTCTTGTGTGTGTGTACAGTATCTTTATTTGCCAACTGTGTGTGTTGTGGCAATGTGAATTAAAAATTTCGTGATGTTTTTCTATTTTTATTTCATTTACTTTTGTTGCTAGTGAACGATCATGTAGGTAAGGCAACAATTTCAGTTCCACCTCGAATCGCAAGTTTTGTTTGTGTGTTTATTTGGTGTTTATTTGGCTGTTTTTTCTTCTTTGATCGCAAACCAAGCATCTGCTATTAAAAATAAGATATTTTACGCAAATGATCGACAGTGAAACATCGAATTAAATTCAAAGCAGGAAAATAGATAGGGAACATCTAAATGAAATTTATTGTTGACGATTCCTTTTCAGAAATTTCTGCAGTGAGTGTCAAAACTTCAAATGCGATTTTCTCGGCTTCACGTTTTTTGCCAGGCTAACTAGCCCTACGGAGCTTTTTGTTATGTATTTGTTGAATACATGATACGTTGAAATATTATACGTTGAATTTTTAAGGAATCAAACTGTTGAATTTTTAAGGAATCAAACTGGGGAGCTTTGCTTCTTTTTTTTTTATCCTAAGTAGAAGATATACAATTTTGTTAACAATATTGAGTGAATTACACTTCAGAAGTATAGTGCATCAACTAAGTTAAAAAATGTTTATGTGATGATGTATATCGGCATTAATACAAATAGCATAGCTCCACATTGCAGATATTTGGCTACAGCTGCATCTTACACTGAACCAAAAAAATATCATGGGAAAGGGCCTTAATCACCCGTAAGAAATTACCTCAACTTAACTTATTTTCTCATAATCTGAGAACTAATTGAGATACAATAAAACTAATTACATTTTGGAAAACATGAAGCACATACACACCTAATTTTATTAAAATATATTTAATGATGAAAAATCTTCACCTTTAAGACGAGTGTCTCCCCTTAAGAAAAACAGATTTTGTGAAGGGGCATAAAATAATCTTTGACCAGTGTAACAAATCAAAACAAATGAGATCCGACGAATATTGAAAACTCTGTGATTAGATAACCAAGAATATATGCCTTAGGGCTAGGAGAACCTTCGTGTAACAGTCAGCCATGATAAATCTTGTTGCACGATTTTGCTTACTGAGGTCCATTGGACACCCACTAATGTGATGCATAAGTGTGCCAAGTTTTAACGAAGAATCTTTATTACCAAATGGTTGTGACCGTTCGTGTACTGAAATATACTGAAAGTATAAGTTCTGAGAAAATCATTAAGGAAGGTTTGAAGCAGCCGAAATGCTTACACAAAGGAGAGATGCGGAACGTTAAAATCCTAGGTATTTTGTAGCAAGAGCGCGCCACCTAGTGTATGTATCGCCAAGTGGCCCATGTGCGCCTCTTTGCGGTAATTCCCATGTGCGCCTCTTTGCGGTAATTGCACTTAAAGTATTTTAGGCACTGCAGCCGCACAAGGCCAAGGCGCCTTTTTGTAGGGCAAAGAACCAATCGATGAGCTCAGTAGTGCGTAACATTGCCCATGGGCAAGCGGTCGCCATACTGCACGTATGAGGGGGATCGGTCAGGCAAAGGAGATGGGTGCGGGATTATTTTTCTAAATGAAGGGCTGCGAAACACTGATATTCAGTAAATGTGATCGCCACGGTCTACTGTATGAATTGGCGAGATTGTATGGGGAGTGTAAAAAAAGTCTGAGCCCGTTTACTGGTGTCTTAGTGGCTTGCTAGCCATTGTTCTTAACAGTCCACCAATCTCCTGCAGGATGTTCCCGATTACTACGATGTCATCCGACGACCCATGGACCTGGGCAAGATCCGGGGCAAGCTGAGCGGCATGGAGTACCGCACCACCAAGGATTTTGTTGCAGACATCTACCTCATCTTCCAAAACTGCAGCGTCTACAACCGGCCCGAATCACTGGAGCACTCGGCAGGCATCGCCCTGCTGGGAACCTTCGAGCGACTCCTGTCCCACCATGGGCTCGGAGAGTTTCCGCACGCCCCGTGCTTCGAGGATGAGGAGACCAGTGGCAAGCGGACGTCCAAGCGCGCAATCAAGAGGCACTGCTGCGACAGCGACGACGAAGACCACGGCTCAGGGAAGCGACCGGCGGTGAGCCCTGCCAAGACGGCTTCGTCGACCAGAAGCAGTAGCAGGCGCCGCACAAACTGATTAGAGTGCTCGCGCAATTTCCAGTCTTGTTGAAGACTATCATTACTCTCCCCCTTCTACTTTTTCCCTCTTCAGTTCGCACATTACCATCATGTACAGTGTCCTTCCCCTTTTCTTCTCTCCCTTTTTTTTTAATTAGAAAAAAATTGAAACTTTGGCTCGGCTTCATTTTTCTCTCTTGTGTTTGAAACTGGAAGGCCATCTGGAAATTCCATTGGCTCTTGAGGAAAGATTGAGTGAATGGTTCTTTGAACGATGTGCGAGATTGATCATACTTAAAAGGAAAAAAAAAAAATAGAGCGAGTGTGAGTGTAGAAGGCTACTGACGATGTTAAGCAGTGACCATCATTATGGATTGGCTCGCAGTGTGTTGTGCTGCATCTGCCTGTCCTTTCTATCCGGTGATTTGAAAACATGCCAGTGCATCGGTTTCTCTAAAAATGACTCCTGGGCTCGTCTTTTGCACACCTGTTTATTGCTATTCTGGGTAATTGTAAATGAGCGTTTACTATATAGGGTTAAAATGCAACTAGGCGAGTCTCTTTGAAAGTGTCGCTGTGATGGGCACACAAAACACATTGTCAGCTTTTTTTCTTTTGCCTCTTCATATATGTACGCCTTGTGGCAGCAGTCTTGCGCTATTTCAACACCATAGACCTTATGTAATGTTTTCGCAGCTCTTGTAGGTGCTGAGTTCGTGTATCATCTTTAAGGTGTTCATACGTATGTACAATTCGCAGGATTTCTTTTCAAGTTCTCGTCTTTTTTTTTATTGAAAGCATTAGAATGCATGGCTTCAAAACTTCTTGATATCTGTGGTTAATGAGCCCCTCCCATTCCAGGTCCTGGTGTGGTGTCTGTTCTTGCTGTACATAAATGCAGTTTTCTAATGCTGCATCTAAGATGCAAGAAGGTTGAGAGCGTCGTTAGCATCAAAGTTAGTTTGCTACCCTTTGGCGTCATTTGAAAAGGTTTACAAATAATCTTGCATGGGCCTTTGCATGAGTTTCAGGATCAGTGTGATAACACTGTACTTTGCCTAGACACCTGTGATGATTGAATAATGCAGTGTTAACGTGTGCAGCAAAAAAAAAAAAAAAAAGCAGGCTGCGAAGCCACTGGCACTTTTCACTGCATTCACATCAAAACTTGATCTAGAGAAGTTTAACCAGATGTGAAAGTTGCCATTGGTGTTTTCCAGGCAAGTTCTGCAACACCCTGAGGAGCGGAGCCTTGCTGCTAGCAACATAGGTATTTGTAGTGCGGTTCCTTCGTGAATATGCTATTAGCAACCAGAGAAAGTATTCAAATGTCTAACACTGGCCCCTTTGTGAATGTACATACCGTGTTCACTTTTAGTTGTTAAAGGTTTCTTTTGGTTCCTGCAAAGCGTTCTTTTAGAACTTCATAGCTTTTCATTTGCTGTAGCGACATTTTTATGCCTACTAAAATTTGTTTCTAGTTTCATCAAAGTAATGATAATGATTCAAAGTTTTTGAGTATGTGTGAAAGCAGACCATAGCACTTTGTGCCTGGTGTGGCATCAGTAAGAATGACTAGGTAGGAAATGACTTTGCCTACTTCGAAGTTATTAGCCTGCATTTATTCCTGTACTGCTAAGGCGAAAGACCAGTGCAAGTTTCAGTTATGATACTGAAAGGTGCATCTTTGCTTCACAGCCCACCTCTCTGCGGAAGTGGTAATGCCCTTTAATCGACATGGTTCGCATTATACATTCAGAATGATACTTGAAAACACTGAGCGAAGCACGTCCGCTGCAAATAGCCGACCGTTTGCCTTGCTGGATACTTGACCATTTGTGGCAGCCGCACAAGTTTGCGGATTGCGGCGTTGAGTGCTAATGAAGACTCCCAGTCTCGTTCGATGTAGGGTACTCGCCGAAGTGAATTCGCTGGGCACTTTCGCTGTCTGTTGAACAGTCTTTTTACGCGTGCTGTTTCTTTGTCATGCGAGTCCCACGAGCAGCCACTTGCGTTGATTGGGCACCTTTGCATCTATAATGCACAGCCTGGAGACACCATTGAGTTTGTGCACAATTTTCGTGTCGACTGGCTTCGAAAATCCTCGAGACTACTACACGTCATCGAGGCTCATGTGCTCTCCCGATTGCATGGTACGTGCGACGTCGACTCTGCTGGCTCGGGGGGCAACAATGACGACTAGCTGTCGATGTGTGCACCTTCGGCTCCCATGAGTAGTAAAATAAAAGCCTTGTTTGTGCAAGACTGAGCCTGAAATGTGTTCTTTTGTTTTTTGAAATTCATGAGTGTCACCTGAATGCCAGTGAAAACTGTCTGTTCACAGTAAGGTGAGAGTTGCCACAAGACCATTTGCTGGAAGTGCCTGTAGTCTATAAAAATACTTTGCTAGGTGTTAGGCAATGCATGCTTGAACGCCATTGATGGTCTTGCGAGAACACATGGTGTATTTCACCAGTTCAATTTGGTGTTCTGCCTGTTCAGCAATGCAGATTTTTTTCTTCGGTTACTTGGAGAGAAATGATTGAAGTAAAGTGGTATTCAGATTGGAAGTTTTGGAACACACCACACCTATATGCACGGTGGTGTTTTTCGTTCAAGCACTAGTTGGTGTCTGGAATATTAGTTGTACCTTCGTTGTAAACCTTCAGGTTCTGTCACGTAGTGTACCGGTGTCACTTTTTTGTACAGTGATAATGACTGCCATTTAGTTGCTGGTTGAAAATGGCCATGAGTGAGCCACCAAACAGTGGTATAGCCACTTAATGGCGACGCTTAAACGCGCGACAGTATCTTCATCTCGCGATGTGCGCTGACTAGCGATTGAGCCGGAGTTTGGGCGCTGTCGAGCCGTTTTCACCAGGCGCACAAGGAGCATCGGTTGAGCGGTCACTGGGCTGGCCGATCGTGTCGTTCTACCAGCACGTGTTCATGCACACCGTTCGCTTACTAGATCACATCATCACCGAGTGTTAGTTCGACCCTTTGCCTTGATCACCCCCAACAGGCGTGGACAGAAGAATGCCTGCGTGTTCACTTCACGCCACAGCAGACGCATGTCTCGCGGTCCAAGCTCGTGCGAGGTGATCCTGCTCTCGCGAGTGAAGGCGCAGCTTGCCCGAGCCAGTGTCACCCGCGGCTTGAGGGTGATGCCTGGGTGCCCGATGGTGCGCAGGCCGGCCTTGAGCCGGCAAAAACCGGTGACGTAGGCGTCCTCGATGAAAAAAATGGGCGTGGCCTGGGACGCTTGGTAGAGCCTCCTGGCCGAGGATTGAGAGAAGGCATACGCAAATCCTCCGCAGTAGTGCGGAAACAGCTCTCCGGGAAGCTGGTCCCTTGGCACGCAGTACTTGAGGTAGCGGTTCGGCAGTGGGCCCTCGCCGTGCCGGAGGATGCGCCGCTCGGGGTTTGAGTGACACAAGATAGCGTCCTCCATTGATGGCCGGTCCAGTGCTGCGAGAAGCAGAAGTTTTAATGAGACACCATAGTGCAAGAAGAGATGCAGCAGGTCCTTGAAAAGAATTTTAAATGTAACTATCACTTGAGACTGATGAATTATTTTTGAGAAGCAAGTAGGCGGTTTGCATTGACACCGTCATACTAGAGTACCAACATCGTTGAAGTTGGTAATGGCAGGTTATCGTTACCAGGGCATCACACGCAGGTTTGTTCCTTACACAGATAGCAATTACGTTCTAAAGAAACAGCCCTTGCTACGTTGATGTGCAGCCACGTGATTACGCAGACTTCACATCATTAAGACCCATATTCACAAACCAACCTCAACCTTACCTCAAGTTTTCCTCACCGGTTTTAAGCTGTTATTGTGCTTGCTGAGCAAAGTAGGCTAGTATACAGGAACAATCTCGCTGCTATATTTTACCCTGTTACCATTTCTGTGTGCTTTTAATGCACGTAGAGAGTACAGAAACTTTAGGAAACGTCAAGGTTTGTTTATACGGGCCTAAGCCTCAACATTGGATACCAGTGCCAGAGTACTTCAATGCTAAGCACTGACGGACTCTGTCAGATCTCACAGGCTCAATAAATAGTACGCGAGAAAATGAAGGTAAATGGTTCGTTTTGTTTTCTAATGTTGAGCCAAAATCTTGAAACACAGGTGTTAGTGTGACGTTGCAGACTTTAATGTGCTCTTTTTGCGTTTTCGCCCTGTGTTTCGAGGAAATGTGTGTAAATTTTTGCAAAGTTTATAGCCCCTTCGAAACAGTTTACTTCATATCTGGCAACTGTGCAATGTACGCTGTCTAAATCTATGATGTCACTCATTTGGTGCGGTAACTCGCAAGGCGGCGCATTTCGTTTCTGCGCTTTTTAAAATTTTTTTAGCTTGCCAGAATTTTTTTCACGGTGAGGTGCCTTTTATACAAGCCGTTATTTTTCTTATAGTATTAACTCATTTGTGTCCAAGACAAAATAGGTAAATTGACAGCCACACCAGTTGATTCATCATTGCACAATTTTCAGATTACACCCTGCTTTGCTAGCATGTGGCAAATAATGCTGGTCGCGTCAGAATCCAAGCTTTTCGTCTATGTCGCAATATTCAGTACAAAGCAGTTTTTTTTTTCTTTGTAGCTATAGCATGTGAGCGGAGTTGGGTGCTGTTGAGCCGTTTTCACCAGGCGCACAAGGTGCATCGGTTGAGCGGTCACTGGGCTGGCTGATCGTGTCGCTCTACCAGCACGTGTTCATGCACACCGTTCGCTTACTAGATCACATCATCACCGAGTGTTAGTTCGACCCTTTGCTTTGATCACCCCCAAGAGGCGTGGACAGAAGAATGCCTGCGTGTTCACTTCACGCCACAGCAGGCGCATGTCTCGCGGTCCAAGCTCGTGCGAGGTGATCCTGCTCTCGCGAGTGAAGGCGCAGCTTGCCCGAGCCAGTGTCACCCGCGGCTTGAGGGTGATGCCTGGGTGCCCGATAGTGCGCAGGCCGGCCTTGAGCCGGCAAAAACCGGTGACGTAGGCGTCCTCGATGAAAAAGATGGGCGTGGCCTGGGACGCTTGGTAGAGCCTCCTGGCCGAGGATTGAGAGAAGGCATACGCAAATCCTCCGCAGTAGTGCGGAAACAGCTCTCCGGGAAGCTGGTCCCTGGGCACGCAGTACTTGAGGTAGCGGTTCGGCAGTGGGCCTTCGCCGTGCCGGAGGATGCGCCGCTCGGGGTTCGAGTGACACAAGATGGCGTCCTCCATTGATGGCCGGTCCAGTGCTGCGAGAAGAAGCAAAGTTTTAATGAGACGCCATAGTGCAAGAAGAGATGCAGCAGGTCCTTGAAAAGACTTTTAAATGTAACTATCACTTGAGACTGATGAATTATTTTTGAGAAGTAGACGGTTTTCATTGACGCCGTCATACTGGAGTACCAACATCGTTGAAGTTGGTAATGGCAGGTTATCGTTACCAGGGCATCACACGCAGGTTCTTTCGTTCCTTACACCGATAGCAAATACATTCTAAAGAAACAGCTCTTGCTTTGTTGATGTGTAGCCTCGTGATTACTTCACATCATCAAGACCCGTATTCACAAACCAACCTCAACCTTACCTCATCGGTTTTAAGCCGTTATTGCGCTTGCTGAGCAAAGTAGGCTAGTCTACAGGAACAAATCTCGTTGCTATATTTTACCCTGTTACCATTTCTGCGCACTTTTAACGCACGTAGAGAGCACAGAAACTTTACGAAACGCCAAGGTTTGTGAATACGGGCTTAAGCCTCAACATTAGATACCAGTACTAGAGTCCTTCAATGCTAAGCACTTACGGACTCTGTCGGATCTTACGTACAATGAAGGTAAATGGTTCATTTTGTTTTTAATTTTGAGCCAAAATCTCGAAGCACAGGTGTTAGCGTGACGTTGCAGACTTTAATGTGCTCTTTTTGCGTTTCGGCCCTGTGTTTCGAGGAAATGTGTTTAAATTTTTGATAGTTTATAGCCCCTTCGAAACAGTTTACTTCATATCTGGCAACTGTGCAATGTACGCTGTCTAAATCTATGACGTCACTCATTTGGTGCGGTAACTCGCAAGGTGGTGCATTTCGTTTCTTCGCATTTTAAAATTTTTTCAGCTTGCCAGAATTTGTTTCACGGTGAGGTGCCTTTTGTACAATCCGTTATTTTTTTTATAGTATTAACTCATTTGTGTCCCAGACAAGCTAGGTAAATTGACAGCCACACCAGTTGATTCATCATTGCACAATTTCCAGATTACACCCTGCTTTGCTAGCATGTGGCAATTTCAAGCTGTTGCGTAATGCTGGACGCATCAATTGATTGATTGATTTGTGGGGTTTAACGTTCCAAAACCACCATTTGATTATGAGAGACGCCGTAGTGGAGGACTCCGGAAATTTTGACCACCTGGGGTTCTTTAACGTGCACCCAAATCTGAGCACACGGGCCTACAACATTTCCGCCTCTATCGGAAATGCAGCCGCCGCAGCCGGGATTTGATCCTGCGGGTCAGCAGCCGAGTACCTTAGCCACTAGACCACCGCGGCGTGGCCCGAGCCACAGGAAACTACAAGGCCCGTGCGTAGTGACGGCGTTAGTGAGAAGCGCCTCCCGTGGGCAGCGCACGCTGGTACAAAGGGCTGATATGTGAGGTTTAACGACCCGAAACCACCGTACGATTATGAGAAACGCCATAGTGGAGGACTCCGAAAATTTAGACCACCCGGGGTTCTTGGTACTAATATGTCGTGTGTCGCCGCTGGTGGATGTTATGTGTAGAGCGCAAATATATGTGGACGGCCGCTCCAGGTAAGTACACATCTGGCACCGTTTTTACGTGTTGAAGCGCAGCCCCTAAAAGCTCCCGCTTGCTGTGGGGGCAAGTGGCGCGCGCTGAACGTTGCCGCGACGCGGCAACCATTTCCCTCTCTCTCCCCCCCTCGTTCGCTTACAAGATAAGCGCGCGCGCAGACGACCCCGGCCAGTAAGGCGATGTTCGCTCCACAGAAAGTGGAGGCTAGCGCATCCTTCCCAGTATCAACGCCTCCTCTGTTTTATCAATGCCAGCCAGATGCGCCCGATTCAGCTGTTCACCTCCCTTTCCTCTTGCCCTTTCCTGCTGTCTCCCATCGCCTATAGCCTTTGCGTGTGCTTTGTGGTCACGGGGGGGGAGGGAGGGGGGGTCTCATACAGTGCCTCATGACGGAAAACACATGAAGTGATGTTTCGTTCAGTTGTGCGAAGATCCGTGGGGCGGCGTCTTGCATTCTTCGTGTTCGCAATATCGGCAGCTACGCTGGCTCTGAAAGATACGGTGTTTTGAGATGTCGCCGTTCGTGGCGCTATGCGAGCAAGCAATGGGGAATCGTCACTGCAACGCTTCTGCGTTCGCTGCTCTGTGACACGGCGGCGGCATTGTCTCGAGCCACAAAGAAGCAGCACGAACGAAGAAACCCGACAGACGTACGATATTGGAGTGGGAAACACGTCTGTCGCATCTTCGGGGAAAAGCGCTGGGACGCGCGTGTGACGCGAGCAGCGGCGCGTCCCCTCCCTGAACTAAGGTGGACCGGCGGCTCCCGTTGAGAGGCGCTCGTTGGCACTGGCATTGAAAGAAATAAAGTAGGCGTTGCCCGTCTATATACATATGCGAGAGTGACAGCGGCGGGAAAAACCAGCCGAAACTGTCCATATAATTGCTATCGCAGTAAAATGTGTTACATCGGTTGCTAATGTGGATGCTTGAGTTTTCTGTGATCCGTTACTGTGAGAGTTGCTCGTGCAGGCGTGGCGCTGCTTACATTATGACGCCTGTCAAAAAAAAAAAAAAAGAAAAACTTGGGGCCACAACAGTTATATGGGAACGGATTACCAGCGAAGCTGTCGGGGCATAGCCAGGAGGGCTTGGGGGAGGGTAGGTCAAACCCCGTATTTTTTCAATTATGCTTGCGTATATTTACATGCACGTACGCATACAAACGTGCTCGCGAACATACAGAAAGTATAGTTTAACCCCCCTACCTCCCACCGAAAAAAATTTCTGGCTACGCCACCGCGAAACTGTATTCTGCTGTAGACGCCTGTCCATTTGCTTTGCGGCCTGAATGACTTGAATCGGCGGCATTCTCCCTCGGACTCGCGCTTTTTCGACGCATTCTCCACCTTTGCGTGGTCCCACTTTCGCCGTCGTTGTCCGCGTTGCTGCTCTCAGTGACTACCCACCTTTATAGTTTTTCTTTTTTGCCCGATACAAACGCTCTCCGCTGCCTCGGCTTTTCAAGTTTCCCGGTTTCTAACAATGCTCGACGTCATACTACAGCAGCGCCGCCGCATGAGTGCGCTGCGCGCTCTCTATTTTTTGTCAGTACTTTTCTGTCTCCATACGGACGCCAGCCACCGGAATACCTTCGTAGCAAAAGCTTGCACTACACTAAGCGTCTCATCCGTGAGATACCCATACACCGTATACCTTTTACAAGAGCAACGCCTCCTTTATTTCATTCAATGCCAGTGCAAGCGCGCTCTTCAACGGGAGCCGTTTTAGTTCAAAGTGTGGTCGTTATACGACGCCACAGAAGCAGTAGGGCCGCTTGCATCACACGTGCTTCCGGGCGCTTTCCCACAGAAACGCGATAGACGCGTATCCCTCTCCAATATCACACGTCTGTCAGATTTGTTCCTTCGCGCTCCTTCTTTGTGGCCGGAAGCAGTGCCCCCGCACCTGAAGCGCTACATTTGCAACGGCGTCATCGTGACGCGTGCCCATTGGTTACCCGCATAGCGCCACGAACGGCGACACGCTATCTCAAAACACCGTATCACTTACAGAGTCATCGTGAGCACCAACGTTGCGATAACGAGGAATGCAGGACGCCGCCCCACGGATCTGTACACAACTCTACAAAAAATAACTTTATATTATTCCCGTCATGAAGGCACTATATGAAGGGCTCTCTTCCCCATGACCGCAATGCACAGGCCAAGGCTATAGGTGATGGGCGAGAGCACGAAAGGGCTAGTGGAGAGGGTGGTGAACAGCTGGATCGGGCTGTCCTTGATAAAATAGAGGAGGCACTGCGCCGTGCTCCCGACCGGGCTGCAGAAATTAGGAGCCTTTCTCCTCTTCTAACCAGCTACCACCAAAATAGAGGAGGCGCTGGCCAGAGTATACCTCGCAATGCTAACACGTTTAAAACATAAGCGTTCTTCTTATCTGTCATCAAAACAAGATAGAGTTGTGCACGAACCACTCAGGAGGTTGGGCACGTGCACGAAGATGTCATCGTCCGTCTTGAGCGCGAACGCAGCGCCTGGGCATCGCGTCACGAACCACTTGATCCCCATGACCGACTTGAGCGCCAGGTTGTCGAACGTTTCGGCGAAGTCCTCCTGCACCAGGTCGCCGTACGCGTAGTTCTCGGCCATCAAGTCTTGCGCCAGCGCCGGGTCTCCCGGGTCGGCGAGCAGGAATACGACGCGAAAGTTGAGTGCCCTCTGCAGCGACTTCTGGCCCCACGTGTCCCTGATGGCCTGACGGCGTTCGGCGCCGTTCCTGGCGTTGGACGCGACGAGAACGACCAGCAGGACCGGAGGCCCGTCGGAGACGCAGACCTGCGGGTTGTCCAGCAGGTAGGAGTAGTTGTGAGGGTTGGCCTCGACTCCGCGGTGGACGGTGACGTTGTCTGGGAGCACGACCCAGCCGGCTGGTCCCGTCCAGAAATCGCTGGTGGGGGCCTTGCCGAGGGGAGGCTGGTGGTGGTGGTGGTTTACGGTGGCCGGCGTCGGTCTTGATACCAGCAACAGGAACAGGGCCAGGGAGCCGAGAGCGCTGGCGCAGACCTTGGCCGCGCCCAGCCTCGGCCAGCGGAAGCGGCTCAGTGGCATCGAAAGGCGCGGCCTCTGCTCAGCCGATCTTCAGCATCTCGGCTCTGCCGCCGCCTGCATCGGCCGGGACGACTTGGTGCTGCAAAAGCAGACACGTCGGATCAAACAACCCGCCGGGACACCAAAGGGTAAAACAGCTTTTCTCGTATTGTTGAATTACAATTTTACGAGTCCGAAAGCACCTCTAAACGCTTGCTAAGCGACAAAATGTTCAAAAAGAAAATGCAGGCGGCGACGCTGCCGTCATAGATTTTGACATCGTCTAATATGTAGTTTAAAATAAAGTCCTAAGGGGCCCAAAGTCATAGCATAACATACTCAGAAATTTTGATTGATGTGAGAAAGTGAAAGGCAGCGAGGTCAATTAGACTGATTATGTGAACTGCAAATCGTGACTTCGCACTGACGTACGCGTGTGCTGAAGTTTCGTCGCGAAACTGAAACATGTAACTTCTTTTCATGTTAACAGTTATTATAAAACGTTAACAATTATTATATCATTATTAGTGCGGGTATTTGTGCCAGATTGATTGCTTTGATGGAGATATGAACACAGTAGTGAGCCCGTGGTTCAACCGTTTATTTATTTATTATTTTCTGAGCAATTCGCCTTTTTCATTTTACTGTATTGCCCTCTTCCCCGCCGTGGTGATCTAGTGGCTAAGGTACTCGGCTGCTGACCCGCAGGTCGCGGGATCGAATCCCGGCTGCGGCGGTTGCATTTCCGACGGAGGCGAAAATGCTGTAGGCCCGCGTGCTCAGATTTGGGTGCACAATAAAAAAAAAAACCCAGGTGGTCGAAATTTCCGGCGTCCTCCACTACGTCGTCTCTCATAATCATATGGCGGTTTTGGGACGTTGAACACCACATATCTATGTACTACCCTCTGCCGTTTTGGTACAGTGTAGTTTTGGTATGCATAAGCAGTGTTGCTAGAATGCAAAGCCTTCGAGACAAGGAGGCGTTTTGCGACGTCCCCGCTAAGGAAGGGCGCATTCCGCTGTGGCATCGTGAAAAGGGTAGATTGTAAACGGGGTGCGCATAGGAAATAAGCGTGAAAATACGGAGCACAGCTCAATTCCGGGACGAGGAACCTTTGCATTATCAGTACGGTCAAGAAAAACCCACAGCACGAGCTGCTATACTCCCAACTTGATACGCTGTTTTGTTGCCGTGATTGACCACCGGTCAATTATCTGCTCTGCGCAGTGCGTGGCCAGGTCCGCATAGCTCGCTCATGTGCGTTTAGCCTTGTTTCGACAAGAAAATGAAGCAGTGCGCGCGAACAGAAAAGCGTCGAAAGACGGAGCAACCAGCTTTCCTCGCTTATACTCGCGACTGGATAAACTGCCCTTCGAGATATCGTACCGCACGTAATATTAAGGTAAGGAGGGGAATTTCAAGGGCTCGTTAATAGTGTGTCTAACACGTAGTACACGTTGCAGAGGCGTAGCAATGACACCATGCTTGGGGAAAGGGGGGGGGGGGGGTCCGACTTTTTTAGATGTTTAGCTGCGCGTGTGCTTGTATGTACTTTATGTAACACTCCACTCTATTTGGCTAAGTCGATGATAGAGTGGTATTGCGGTAAGATTGAGCGTTGGGGCTAATTGATGCTGCATTATTTGCACGTCTCGCAGCGCATGACGCAAGGACGAACAAAGAGGAGACTCTGCTGTGTGGCATTTTCTTCGAAAAACTATATTCTCCTCCGTCGTGACCGTTGTGGGCTTTTTACACAGTACGATTAATCTTGCCGCTCATGTCACGCAGCGAACGAAAGGAAAAAGATGCATCACTGCGCGAGTTGGTTCACGTGCAAAGTTTAAAGCAGCGCAAAAAAAAAACAAAGAAACGAAAGCACAAGACAAAGAGGACCACATGTCAATGCGCCGGTGTCCTGCGGTCCAGCGCCTTGATCTGTGGTCCTCTTCGCCTTGTGCTTTCGCCTTTTGCAGTGCTTTTAACAGTAAAAGAAAGGTTTTCTTTCCGGGCTGCACTCCCCCCTCCCTCCATTAATCCCCGCAGATTCGCCCCTTCAACCCCTGCGGATTCGCATGAGCGAATTTCGCGCCATGTCGAACTTTCCCCAATATTTTCCACTCCGCAAGCCAGCGCCCAATCAGGGCGCGCGCCTTTCGCGCTGCTGCCACACACACACCAAGCACTCGGGCTGATTCGCTACTCACTATTCTCCTGTCTGACTCGCTGCAGCGGTCAGTTTTGTTTTCTTTTTGTCTACAAAGCCCGTCGCTCTGTCCGGCGACAGACTACGCTGTGTAGTCTTGGCACAAGGTCGTGGCCGACCCGTATCGCCACCATCGGATGCGCCTGCAGAAGGATGCGCGGCCAGCAGCAGCAGCAATGCCGGCGGGAAATGAAAACACTGAACCGGTTCGCGCTAAGCGCCGCCAACAGCGGTGAGAGAGGGGAGCGCTGTTGCGGCTTCGAAAGGCACATCTCTCGATCGGGCCAACCCTCGCACGTGTCGAGCAATTATGCGCGCGTGTGTCGGAACGTTTCGGCGAATCTGTACGAGCACATCGATGTGCTTCCTTCGAAGGGTTTTTTGAAAACCTGCAGTATTCCATCAGTTCTGCCAATCATCAGTGCTGCCTTGCTTCGTTTTTTTTTCTTTTTTTCCTGTTTTGGTTTTTACCTTCTTATGTGCCATATGTCTGAAATATGCACTGATTAGTCCTCTCCTGTTCTTTAGTGTTTTCTTCGATTGTTCATTGCTTATTTCTTCTTGCTCACAATTTGTATTTTTGTTTTTGTTTAAATCTGGTTTTCATCATTGATGATACAAACAAACCACTCCTGCTTGGACCGCCCTAGGCCTGCAGTATTGTATAAATAAAAATAAAAATCTGCAGTTGACCCAACGCTAAGTAACCGGTGAAGGTTAGCGCGAAAATTAAGGTATACAGACACAATTGTGCAAACGATACACGGGAACTCGAGAACTGTTTACTCTGTTTCGAGTGAACATATGACGCGTTGTGATATGAAAGCCATCAAGGCATATTATCTGTCGCCTCCTTTCCCTATCGTTAAGGACAGTGACGCAACCATTTTTTTTTCTCTTAGAAAAAAGGGGCGAGGCAACTGTCTTTGTGCATGTTTGATGCGTCTATATATACACATGCAACATGGACACTTTTTAGGTAAAATCCCAACACCACAACGCTTCCCCTCCGCCTACGCCAAGATCGCCATATATGGTTAAGACTGGTGCACTTGCAGTGAACTGCTGGGAAATTATTGGGCTGCTGTTTGCATTGACGTCACAAGAAAAAAAGGGACCCCCCCCCCCTTCCCCTGTCATCCATAAGGTTGGCTGCGAGTGCACTTGTCGATACTGGCGGCAGAGGACGACAAGAGTAACTTTGCATTCCAAGAACATTTTACTTCTTCCCACTTTATATATACTTTATGCCCCACCCTCCCCCGCCCCCTCTTCCCGTAAAAAGGAGAACCAAAGGCAAACCATTGGGAGAAGCACGTCATTCCTTTATTTTAGTTTTTCTTTCTTCCAAAAGGCTATTTACCTTTGTTGTTATTATATGCTCGCACACGCACTTACTATTCGTTGAGACATATACGCGCCGGTCTCTCCAAACACAGCTAGCTCGTGAAGACGTGTACTGTGGCACCGCATCTTTCGTAGTCCGTGTATTTTTCGGGCGCCACACGTCTTCATCGTTTTCACGATGTATCACCACCGACAAGTTCACTCTTACGTCCTGTCACAGCTGTAGCTCTGCTGGTTGATGGAATTCCACAAATGACATCTGTAACTTGGCGCTAGTTTAGAAGAAATCGAGAGGCGAGAAAGCGAGGCACAACAGAGCGCCGAGGTGTTGCACTCACACCCGACTAAAATATAGCTGCAATAAAAAAGCAGTAAAGGGGCATATTTAGAGCAAACGTCGCCGCGTGTCATTGCTCCGGGGGAATGCGGGAAATGAGCGACGTTTTTCATCCGTGGTGGTGGCGGATCCAAAAAAAAAAAGGGGGGGAGGGGGCTTTACTTTAGTGCTTGTAGTCCACCTCCTATCACCAATTAGGACAAATGAGTGAAATTACTGTTAGCACACATTAACAGTATTCATGCTAGGAAAGGGTTTTCTCGCCAATAAAAACAAGAACTCACGACCACGCCCCCCTCTCAGATTTACTTCAGGCGACCCCCCCCCCCACCCCTGAAATGAGTGGCGGGATCCGCCCCTGTTCCGTGGCGAATATTGTTCTCTCTCGACATAAAAAAAGGGAAGAAAAACGGCATAAGCTCTTATAATAGTTGTTTAGGTTTTACGTATGAAAATTGCGATATGACTATGAGGGACGCCGCAGTGAAGTGCTCCCGAACCGAAATTTCGATATCGCAGGGGCGTAGCCAGTAAGTGGCACACCGGGCCAGGCCAGTGCCCCCCCCCCCCCCCATTTTTTTTTTGCCATGGCATAGAGAGCAAAAAATGACCACATTAAGGGGGTTCATCGAAAGAGCGGGTGTAAACGCTGCTACACACTGTAAACCAGTCTGCGCCCTTAAGGGTGCTTTAACACCCTACAATAAGGGTGTTCTGACAAATCAAAACACCGATTGATGGACTATGGTAATATCTATAAAGCTGGATAGCACTGCGACCACAATCGACGTTTCACGAACATTATAGTCTACTAGAAAAGTAGTTCTGAGAGCTGCCGTGGCTCTGTCGTAGAACGCTCGATTGCCACGCAGAATGCTTGGGTTCCATCTCTGACATTTATTATTTTTTTTTTTTGCATTCATTGGGTCAACGCTAACGCTCACGAGTTAGAATTGTCCATGCGTGTTCTCGCTGTTATTGGGTATACACTGTAGGCGTCAATCACCTGTGGCACATACCCGCATACCAGTGGCACATACCCCGCCGCGGGTATGTGCCACTCTTTGGCGGGAAATATTTGACGATGTACCGCGCGATTGTGACATTATTCATGTCCTGACCAGCGCGTCGTACATTTGTCAAACCAGCTTACCCTCTCATAACAATTTCGATTGACGCCAAGGGGGTGATCGCAGAGCA